GGAGGCAGGAGGCAGGAGGCAGGAGGCAGGAGGCAGGAGGCAGGAGGGTTTCTTTCTGAATTCTAGGCCAGCTAAGACTACAGGGTGAGTTCCAGGCCAGCCAAGACTAAATAGTGAGATTCTGTATCAAAAGCAAAGTATTATGGGCTCCTCCAAGGCTCTAAGCAAGCCTTGACCCCTGAGTCATCTGTGGAAGCATTGACTCCTTCCAAAGTCTGCCTGTACTCTAAGTGTTACTCACTGCTTCCCTATTTAAGTTTAAATAGAGATTGTGTTAGCATTTCTTATTTTTAAACCCTTCTTTCCCCTCAAATTCCAGACTCCCCTTTGGCCAGACATTCTTTCTCCTTCTCCCCAGGTGGCATGACTAAGTCTCCAGGTGCTTTGGTTGCAGCTGCTGTGGAGGTTTGTGTAGCAGCCATGCTGGGGGCTGGAGTCATGAGGCTCGTCAACACCAAGCTGTGGAGTTCAGACAGTTCCCTGACAATCCTGCTCTTCCATAAAGACAACAGTCACATAGAATCAGGGCTTACTTTAAGGAACTTGTAACTTAATTGCTTCTTTAAAGACTCTAGTTTCCAGTAAGGTCCCAATGAGAGGTTGTGAGTGATAAGGATTCCAACAGGTAGATTTGAGGAGAGGAAAATCCTTTGTACTAGTCCTCTTCGCAGGGACTCAGAAATATTTATTGGGCAGTCTACATTTACCACTCAGCAGTAAATAGCAAAACACTGGGGGGATTTGGCATAGAAACTATAATTCTAGTATATGTGTATATGGAAAGCCAGAAAGAGAGAGGGCTGTAGTACAGAGATGTCAACATCAAGACAAAGCTAGCAAACGAAAAGATGGGAAGCTAAGAGAGGCAAAGCCTTCTATAAAAGCATGTAACAGATGTGCCCACAGGGACTTCATGAATAAAATGTGTATTTCTGTTTCAGACAACAGTCCTAAACTGAATGACCCAGGTCACTGGTCGAGTTCTGCTCAACAGGGTGTTTCAGAGCCAAAATAATTTCCAAAACATTTTCATCATCTTTACGGTAAATGCTGGGTGTCAGCCACGTCTGCGTTTCTGCTGCTGGGAACGAACCGGAGGAGGCACGCTGCAGGGTGATGTCCCCATCCCAGATCTGAAATATGTCACTTCTCACATTCCACTGATAAAGATGATGTCTACTGTGTCTCTAACTAATGGGGAAGCAGTAAACGGCCTACGAGTCTACTGTGCGTGAGAAGACTTGCCCAGAAGAGACTGCTCTTAGTTAGACATCTGGGAGTGCCTGCCATCCCCCTTAAAAATAGGCAATGTGAGGGGGAAAAAAGATTTCCTAGTAAGAATGAAGTCAGTGCCCTCCATTAAACACATGGCAGTACTGTTTAGGAGAAAAGCATCAATGAAAACTTCGAGAGCTATAACAAGATACAGGTCAATATAGAGAAATGCTAAGTTAGGACCATGATGAGGAGGACATTAGAGTACCCAGAATCACCAGAGTCATGAGTAACAACTTCACATAGAAACTAACTGATATTACCTTATTCACACACTAATTACATTAGACAATAAGAGGCACTATCATTATCTTCTAATTTGCTTAATATTCATTAAATCCAACATCTAGCCAAGCCATGGTTATAGTATTTATGTCCTGTAGTGTTTTTTTCCTCATTGGCTTCCGACTGAACTTTTTTTTCCAATTTCAATCTTTGACATCATGCCTCAAGGGAAATAGAATTTGTTTTCAAACAGTGGACTGATAGAAAATGATATAATACTGGATAAGCAAACAGGGAATATTAAAGTAACAGTAAAAACTTTATGTATTGAAAAACTGCCAAAAGTAACATATTTTACTGGACTGCAAATGAAAGGGCCACAAAATAGACTTTCTAAAAATACAGAATCTATAGGTTGTCAAAAGAGATTAATGGGTAAACATGCGCCTGTAGTTAACAATCTGAATCTGATCCTGGGACCCACTTCATAAGAGAGAAGTGACTCTGAAGGGTTGTCCTCTGATCGCCACAGGTGTGCCATGGCATTCATGGACCCACACGGATATGGATACACACAATAAATGGTAAATTAAAAATAAATACATAATGCAATTCCAAATTATAACTGAAGTATGCTGCCAAAAAGGATAATATTTTTCCAGTTGTTGACTAGTGTATTTAAACTGCCAGTAACACAGGAGCCCCCTTAGTAACTGCTCATGTGAAGGAGGGAACCAATTGCTGCCTCACATGAAGCAACCATTCTGTGTGACAAGATGCTGAGAGCCAGGGTGTCACACACTGATGGTGACAGACAGGAATACAACAAAGTGAGGACGATGACTTTTGTCTCAAAATGCTAGGGAAAAAACTCACCTAGGAAATGGTTTGAGGCCGGGCAGTGGTGGCGCACGCCTTTAATCCCAGCACTTGGGAGGCAAAGGCAGGCGAATTTCTGAGTTCGAGAGTTCGAGAGTTCGAGTCGAGACTAGCCTAGTCTACAGAGTGAGTTCCAGGATAGCCAGGACTACACAGAAAAACCCTGTCTCGAAAAACCAAAAAAAAAAAAAAAAAAAAAAGGAAATGATTTGAACAATTTCATTACTAGATATTTATCCAAGAAAAAAATTCATCCATACAAAGAATGAGTTATTCATAAATCTCAAAATATTCATCCTCAGTGAAAGAGCCAGATGCCATGGGTACATAAAACTCGAAAATGTAAACTAACTCAAAGTGGCAGGGAGTAGAGTCATGGTTGTGGGGACAGGGAGGACAGGAGGGAACAGCCACACCAAGGACCAGAGCATTTTTGGTCACTCTTATCAGAGGTGTCCCACTTTGTGGTGTACACATGACAACCCTTATTGAAGTGTATGTCTCAAAATGCAGTTGAAATCTGAAGGGAGTATTTTAGAGAAATCGACAAACCATCTTTTAAAATGTCCTAATGCTTACTTACCTTGCTTTTTCTACTCCCATCCTCTAAATGGGAGCAGCCAGAGGTACAACGTGCTGAACCATCTGAGCCAGTTGTTTAAGTGATAACTTTAAGCACTTGTAACTAGTTCAAACAAACAAAAACAAACAAAATTAAAAAAATCACACTGTAAGAAAGAACAGTTAAAAGAGAAAGATTTTTGTTTTCTGAAGAAAAACATCTTCCCATTTATGATGCTGCAGGCCTGAACTCAAAATCTTTTGTCATTTAGGACAAAATCAGGACAGAATTGGTGCGCTACCCAGAATTCCACACTATATTTACTTTTTGTCTTGCCCTTCTAAACTGAAGTGGTTTTAATCAGTAGGGTCCTCAACACTTGCATTATTTTAGTCAAAGCTTGACTGGAAGTAGAAAATATACAGACAGGCTGGCTGTGTTTATTGATGAAGTCTCAGGAATCTTGCGGAACACGACATCAGCTGACAGAAACAGTCTTGCTTTGCAAGAGAGGATAAATTACCAAGTATCTTTGAGATGGACTGCAGAGGAATTATGGCTCACAGATAACTAACAAAGACATCGCAGTTGAAAAGTCTCCAGGACACTGTGAGAGGTTTCAAAGTACTGAAGAAAAGATGTCTTCCTAAACATCACCTTGTGTTGTCACTATCGTATTATGCAAGCAACGCTGTCCTTCCCTTTCATGTACAGGGGACCTGCAGATTTATGAAGCACATTTATTTATTTGCTTATTGTCAGGGTTTTTCTGTAGAGCTCCGGCTGTCCTGGAACTTGCTCTGTAGGCTAGGCTGGCCTCGAACTCACAGATTTGCCTGCCTGTACCTCCCCAGTTCTAGGATTAAAAACCTGCCGATTCCAACCTTTTTGTGTGACTCAAATGGTTTGGTGGACACATCACGATTTACATTCTGTAGCTGTATGATCGCTGTATTAAAGCATTTTACTCTGGGAAAGCTATAGTGTTAGAGGGCTCAGGGTCAGCAGATTGGAGAGCTACAAGGGGAAGTCCATGCCCAGATACTAACTGTTCAGTTTGGAAAAGAACTATGTGCTTTAACTATATTGTCCCCATGTAAAATTAAACCATGTATAACTATCATGATTAGAGACTGCTAAAATTTGGATTGTGTTTCATCTGAAAACAGTTTCAAGTGGTTTTTCATGGGAAGACTTTGGGGGAAGATCTGTTAACCAAAGTTGCAACAATGTATAAATAAGCGATGGTTAACCTTTCAAGAATTACCAACTAAGAAATATTGTCACACTTAGGGCCGGAGAAACAGTTCAGATGAGAGAACATACTGCCTTTCTAGAGGAGCTGAGTTCAGCTCCCAATATCCAGGGTCTCATGTTGGGCAGCTCACAATCACCTGTAACTCCAGCTCTATGGAATCTCTTCTTCATGCATATACCTACGTATGTATGTATGTATGTATGTATGTATGTATGTATACACGTATACATATCTATCTATCAATCATCTATCTATCTATCATCTATCTATCTATCTATCTATCTATATCTATCTATCATCTATCTATCTATGTATCTATCTATGTATCTATCTATGTATCTATCTATCTATCTGTCTATCTATCTATCTATCTATCTATCTATCTATCTATCTATCTATCTATGATTTTAAAATCTTTTAAAAAGAAATAAAGGGGCTAGCAGTTAAGAGCACTGACTGCTTTTCCAGCAGAGGTCCTGAGTTCAGTTCCCAGCAACCACATGATGGCTCACAAGTGTCTGTAACGGGATCTGATGCCCTCTTCCGGTGTGTCTGAAGAAATCGACAGTGTACTTATGTATGTCAAATAAATAAATAAATAAATCTTTAAAGAAAAAAAGAAATAAAGAAAAATTTTTGTCACCCTAAGCCACCATTAGTAGGACAGAGCTCTTGAGAGCAGGGGCCCCATCCTATGGGAGCATTCTGAAGATCTAATCTGGATCAGAGTCCCACAGCTCTGCTTATCTTCTGATGTATCATCTCTGACCCACTCTATCTCTAGAGATAAATTAAATTTGATCAGAATTGTAATGGAAGAAATTAACAACTAAAGAAGTTTATATTATTATTATTATTATTATTATTATTATTATTATTATTATTATTATTTTACCTTAGGAAAGCTCATTCTGTATTCCTCACCCACCTGCCCTACCTGAAATCCAGGCCAATCTTGATCTATATTGTCTATAGAAGGCAAGTTCTAGGAGGAGGAAGCTGCTATCAGAAGGGCAGCTGGGAGTGGGGTGGGAGTAGGGAAGACACTTCCTGTTCCCTTTCCTCCTGGATTCCTGCAAGCAGGCAGCTGGCTCTACAGTCCTGGAGGCCAGGCCCCAAGGCCCAGAGCAAAGCAGGATCTGGAGGAAGAGCTAAGGCAGAGCCAGAGAGTTTCCCACATTGCTTGTAACTTATGTGGGGCAAAAATCACTTCAGGGAAAGCCAGGAATGTCTTGGTGAAGGACATGAATTTTATGTCAGGGGCCCTAATTTAAATTCCAGCTCTGTCTCTCATCTTTAAACTCTGAGCCTCAGAGAGTAAAACGAGGTTGTTAATATCTATTTCTGGCAGTTGCTTTGAGGACAACGTTAAATAACACATGCAAAGTACTGAGTACTGCCCCTGGCTGTGGTCTCCATGTGACCAGAAAAGCAGTCTTTCTTCATTTATCAAGTACTCACTCCCAGGGAGCACCGAGGATAGTGCTGGGCCTACAGAAGCCAACTCTAAAACAGACTATTCCCACCAAACTTCAGGCTAGGAGAGAGTCCCTAGTCTTTCACATCTGATTCAACATGCCCCAACAAGGCTGAAGGGACTTGGGGCTCAGCAGCATATACTCAAAACCCTGGGTTCAATTCCCCCACTTGTCCACCAAAAATTAGTCAACACCCCTATACAACAAGCAGGAGCCAGTAGCAAAGCAGTGAGTAGCTTTGGACGATGGGACTTTCCTGTAAGTTCTGGATGGGGGCTGGTGCCATAGCTTAGTGTTGAGAGTAAGTATGCTTAGCATACTTCAGGCTCTGGGTTCCATTCCTAACTCTGCAAAAGAAGACAGCTGTTGATAGGTGAGTGAGGACCTGCAGATGCAGTTTGTTAGCAAGTCACGCAGCTTAGATGTGTGTTTAAGAAAAAATTACTTATTTTTTCCTATTAAGCTGTTGAACTGTTATGATGCTATGCGTGGGGACAATGCCTTCCTTTTTCATGTTTTAAACAGGGATTTTAAATGTCCATTCCATGCTAGTAAAACTTTCATAGCTAATAAAATAATATATTGAATTAACCTAGGATGTGATTCAGTATAAATTTTGGGAGGACCATATTTTTGTCTTCATTTTTATAATTCAGTTGGCTATGACCTTAATTTGTTACCACGAACGAGGCACAAAGAGTGACTACTGCCTCTGTCACAATAGTCTATGGTTGGTATACATTTTTACTTCAAGCATAATAGCCACAGTTATTTTTTATGCATCTGATTCTACCTTCATGACCCATTGCATACGAGAAGTCTGAAATTCGTGGTGGTAAAAAAATAAAAATAATTTAAATATGAAAAATCTTTCAAGTTTTTTTTTTCCTTTATGTCAACCTTCCCAAACAAATTGCCAACATAAGAAAATTGGACTTAAAATCATGCTGCCAACATAAGATAAACCCAAACTGGAAAAAGAATCAACAATTAATATAAATAAAAATTTCCCAACCACATGCTGCCTGTCTTGAGAAGTAGAGACAGTCTGGTGAAGTGGTCCATCTGCACAGTAGTTCTTTCCGTTTTACTAGATGAAGTAGACTCCTTTGCAAAGCCTTTGGGAGTTACATCATTCTAATGAGAAAAGAGTATTCCCGTTAAGGAGCAAAAGGCATAGATTAAGGCTTTTTAAAGTGCTGATTTAAAAAAATTTTTTAAAGTATCTTCAAATATAAACAAAATGCTTATTAAGTTAAAATTAGCCAGCTTTCATGGCATAATTTTAAAATGTTATCAAATATTTGCTCCCTGGTTGCAGGCTTCCTGTCAAGTCTGGACAAACTGCTCAGACACTCTCTCCACACTGGCTGCCCATGGGGCAGCCCCTGCTTTCTCTGCACCTGTGCTTAATGAGCGGCCTTTTTGCAAACGTGGCTATCTATTTGAAGGAGAAAATAGAAGGAAGAAATTCATGCAAGAATAAAAACAAAACAACAAACTACATTCTTCCCCAAACAATAAAAACCAAAATAAACAAAACATTTATAAACATGCTACAAGGTCTGGAGGCTGAAAGTTTCAAGGTCACCCACCCAAAGCCTTCTGAGGGCAGGACTGAGAGATTAACATAAGAATAAAGGCCAAAGATTTTCAGAGAAAAAAAATTAAAACAAAACAGCCATTGTCACCCAATTGTATTCTTTGAAGTCCAGATGTTCTTATCAGGGATTCCCCTCTCCCAATAGGTAAGCAGTTTGGTCAGTTAGGGATATTGCCTATAATGTTTATTAGTCTTAAAAACAAACAAACAAACCCACTGTTTCACTTAGAACATAAACACTTACCCTTAAAACTTATCCTGTGAGTGGTCTCCATTTCAGTCCTGAATGAGTGGGTCTAATAAATTATCTTTGCTCTTCATCCAACTATGACTTTAACTCAAAAGAAGTCAATCCAATCCAAGTTCTATACCACATGCACTCTTGATCATCTCCCTCCAACAGCGAAGCATCTGAAGAACGCACCCCACAAATGTATGTGCTCCCTTTTTCCTAGTGAAATTTTAAGTTGTCAGAAACACTGGAAAAATTCTGCTACCACAGCAGTTACAGGGGAAGCAACCCTTCATGGTTAGATGTGTCTTGGTCACATTTATACCCTCACACACAACTAGTGCCCCGAGGAGCTGATGGGGAAAGGGAAGCCACCGCTATACCAACTTCCCCCCGAGAAAACTAAGAAATGAGGGTGCTCTGTTGTTGTAACCTAAGATCAGGTCTTTGAAATAAAACTAGAAAATGCCAAAAGTACTACAAACAAAAGAATCAAACAAATAAACAAAGAAACAAAACAATCTCCCCCAAACAAAACAAACCAACAACAGCAACAACAACAAAAACACCCAAAACAAAGCCCCAAAAGTTTGGTGAGGTATAATTTCGACTGATCCCTTAGAATTAGAGTTACAGATGGTTGTGAGTGGTTGTGGTCATGTGGTTGCTGGGAATAGAACCTGGGTCCTCTAGGAAGAGCAGCCTGTGCTCTTAACCACTGAGCCATCTCTCCAGTTCCCTGACCCCCACAAAGTCTTTAAGATTTAATTATCTCTGAGTTACACATAATCGACTTGGAATTGGAAGTGACCTGGATGGTGGAAGGTTACTGGACCAAGGCCAGTTTACCTTAACTAAGAAAATGTCTCCATGTCCAAAATCAAAAACAAAACACAACTTTCAAGTAAAAGCATTCCTATAAAATTCAGCCAAATATTTTTGCTTGTGCGCCACTGGAGACATTTTCTATGGGGCTGAAGGAGAAAACTTTCTTCTGAAATGTAAAGTGGGTTCCCCCGCAAAGCTCTTCAATAAGTATATTATTCTAAAGTATTTTGAGAACAGTAAATATACCAAACTATCATATTTTTGTGACAAAATTCTTTTCTAACCGCTTATTTCCTTCCTCCAGAATCTACCATGTTTGTGGAAAGCCTTCCCTTCTGGTTTATCTAGCAAGCATCCTGATTTCCAGGTATCCTTCTCCCCCCTGGAGAGAGCACTTCCCAGAAATTTACTGTTTTACAAGGAGCCCTTTTATATCTGAAAGAGAAAACCGTTTTGTCAAGGGATGATGAGAAATTCCAAAAAAACTAACTCAGACGGGATTCTAAATTTGGGGGAATGTATGGCACTCGTTCAACCCCGAGTGTTGGTCACAAAGAGTCTTAACTTATTTTACACCGCGTGTAAAAAACTGGTATTCGCTGTGGGTTTTTTGTTTTTAGTGCTTTACATCAATAAAAATGAATGTTAATTTTGGTCTTTAATTAATATGTTGAGGATTTTTATAAAGCATGCAAATTCAAATTATCCTTACAGGAGAACTTTTGGCGAAAATAAGAACCTGGTACAAATAACATATTTTGCTGGTAACTTTAATATGTTCTCAAAGCAAATGAGACCATGTGCCTAACCGAAGGAGAAAGCCAAGTTTGGGGTTCAGATCTGCTGCTTTGAAAACAGTGGGCTTCTCATTTCCCTACCAAAGCAACTGGGCTTGTGTGTGTCAGAAAGGTTAAAAGAAAAAACAGGAAAAGAAGAAGGAGGAGGAGGGGGAGGGAAGAGGGGAGGAGAGGGGAGAGGGGAGAGGGGAGGGGGGAGAGGGGAGAGGGGAGGGGGAGGGGACATCTCTCCTTCCAACCTCAGTAGTCTAGAAAGTCCGGAGAATTTTCAGTAGAACTTTATACAATTCTTGGAACAGATAACAATTGAAATGTAAGAAAAATCTGGTGGCGGGGGAAGGGGTGGGTAGTGGAATTCTGCCATAACTGTGAAGTCTGAGAAAAAATAAACGCCCAGATACATGCAAGGGGATTGGGGGAAGGCAAGACATAAAGTCCTTGTACCCATCCCCACCCCAGTTCTCTTACAGAGGCCACCTAGGTCTCTGCTTTGAGTGCAAATGGCCCAGTGAACGTGGCGTGGACGGGAAGGTCCCTCCCTTCATCAGCCAGTTCAACTTTTCCCCTTCTCAAGCTGTTCACCCTTCTAAAAGAAACGGGCACCCCATTCCCAGGAAAGGAAAACTTTGCTTCATGACTTAGAAAAGAAACTTTCTGTTGCTTCATCATTGCAAAGAAACTTGGTCCTGTGAATCTACCCGGAATCTGCGGAGCGCCGCGCAGAACCCGGGCTGTAGAAGCTCAGGGAAGAGGGTCACCTTTGCCACGCGCTCACTCTCTCCCAGACTCTTCCTTGAAATCAGGCAAGTACTGCGTGGAGAAACCGAGATCTGAGCCTAAGAAAGGGGACCCTAGGCGGCGCCCAGGATCCAGGAAAAGCACCCATCAGGAGCCGCCCCGCCCCGGGGCTGCAAAAGTGAAGTCTGAATTCCTACAGGGACAAGGTGGTGACCACTTTATGACTTTTTCCCTGCCCACAAAATATACTCCCGGTGAGCACAGACTTTTCTCAGAGGTGACGCAATGTTCTCAAACACCACCACGGCCACCAATTAAAAAAAAAAAAAAAGGAAAGAGATGAAGGGGTAAGCCTTGCCACCCCAGGCTTCATTCGGCTCCAGCCCCTCCCTCCCTTTCCTCCGAGTCTACTTCACTTTACAGTCGTTTCCCATTCCTACCCCCAGTCCTCCTCCCAAAAGTTTGACGACCGCAAAGGAAACCAAACCGGGAAAAAAAAGTTATCCAGTCCCAGACCTGGCGGGAGATCAGCATCTCTTTTGTTCGGGGCGAACCCACCGTACCCAGTGACGTCACCTGGACTCTGGGCCAATCGGAGTGCGGTCGGCGGCGGCTGCTGCGGCGGGAGGGGCGGGGGGAGTCGGACCGGACCCTCCTCCCCGGCGCGCAGGGCCTCGTGGGGGGGCGGGAAGGGACTGTCCCATATAAGCCTCTGCTCTTGGGGCTCAGCCGCTCGCACCCGCTGCGCTGCACAAGGGAAGGAAAGGAGCCTAAAGTGTGAGCCGGGCCTGCGGCCACAACTTCTGGTTCTCTCCCGTCCTCCTTCCATCTTCTTACAGGGGTCCCCACCTCAGGACTTTTCCTGCAGGCTGCGAGAGGAACCACAGTTCGTGGCCGCTTGCCTCCTGGGGAGGATAACTCTCCTCCCATCCACTCAAGATGCTCAGGGGTCCGGGACCCGGGCGGCTGCTGCTGCTGGCAGTGCTGTGCCTGGGGACGTCGGTGCGCTGCACCGAAGCCGGGAAGAGCAAGAGACAGGCTCAGCAAATTGTGCAGCCTCAGTCTCCGGTGGCTGTCAGTCAGAGCAAGCGTGAGTATCGACAGTCTGGCTGAAACCGGCCGGCGGCAGGGATGGGTTGGCCCTCAGCGCCCGCAGAAGTTATGGCTAAAGTTTTGCGCGCGTGCGTGGCTGTGCGAACGTGTGTGAGTGCGCGCTTTAGTGAGGGAAGCCAACTGTGGACACAAAAGGCTTAGGATTGAGCAGGCTGGTTGCGGGTACAGTGGAGGCAGGGTCCGTTTGTTCTACCTTCAAGTGCTCTAACAAATTTTACACCTTCAGTTCTCCCTTCCAGGAACTAAAACTTGTGGTGAAAGAGAGAAGGGACACGAACTTACAAATTTTACATATGAGATTAATGTGGTCCCTCGATCCTTATTTTCTTTATAAGTAAATAGATAAATATTTAACAAATGGAGATGAAGACAGAATATCTAAATAGATAGTTTCTTACCAACTTAAAAGAGATGTAGTTGGCTCAGTGCTTTGGGTGTACCTCAGGATTCTTTACCAAGAGCAAGGATAGGCATTTCTCTTCCAGCTTTTCAGACACACTCTTCCTTCATCTTGAGCTAGAGGAAAATTTAAAAGTTCTACCCCCCCCCCCTTTTTTTGAAATGATTTCACACTGTAGCCTAAGCTAGCCTAATATTCTCCTGTGTTGTCCAGGCTTGTGTTCAACTTGGAGCAATTCTCCTGCCTCAGCTTCTACAGTGCTAGGGTTACTGGCATAGTCATCAGGACACTCAACTTAAAGTTTTCTTTCTTGTTTTATTTTTGTTGTTGTTTATAGTATTGAAACCCCTCATGAATTAAAAGTAATTTCTGTTTTTTTGCTTCTCAGAATGTTTCAATTCTGCTGATGTGGTTCCCCTGACCAGATGGACATGACATCATTGTATAACTTTTAACCAAGTTAAAAGATAAGGGGGAAAAAAACCCTGAAAACTACCTCCTACATAAACAGTGCTTACATCTTTGACTAGTTAGGTTTGACATCTGTATTTTATTGGAATATTGCTTTTAAGAGTTGTGTTTGTTCAGGCTCACTGAGTCAGTTGGCAAAATTCAGTAATTTTGTAGGGGAAAAGAAGAGGAGGGATGAAATCGTTATAACTTTCCCCTTCAATTCTTCACAGCTGGCTGTTTTGACAATGGGAAGCACTATCAGATAAATCAGCAGTGGGAACGGACCTACCTAGGCAACGCCCTGGTTTGTACCTGCTATGGAGGAAGCCGAGGTTTTAACTGCGAGAGTAAACCTGAGCGTAAGTGGAAGGCAGTCTGGTCCCTGGCAGAAATGATGCTTTAAATAAAAACACATTTGCCTTTCCCTCCACCCTGCTAGAATAGCTTGTAATTCCCTCTTAGTAAAACTTGTGACTCTGGCTTTTCACATGCTCTTACCTCTAAAACAATTGTAATGCAAACTTGTTTCCAGAGCCTTCTTTTTAGTCTCTCGAAGTTTTTGATTAGAAAATGAAGGTTTTTTTCATGTCTCCCTTCAAAAAGAAAACTTATAAAAGTTTGCTTATAAAAGTTTAATTTATTAGAAAGTTATCTCAGATCTTTTGGCTCCTGATTATGGGCCAAAAAGTGCTTTGAAGCACTGGGTTGTAAAGTGATTTGTTAGCTGCAGTTCAGTGAAAAAGCACCACCACTTCTGAGACTTCGAACCCCCTTGATATGCTTCTTGTGAACTACAGCAGTCTCTTCAGAGAGGCTGCTGAGGGAGGATACAGGGGAAATATTTCAGTAGGGCTGACAAAGGCCAGCGCCTGCTGGGAAGCAGGCAACCTTCAAACTGTTTGTGTCCCTTGTGACCCTTGAATTGATTTCCCTGGTTTGAGACTGGAATTTGAAATCTTTCCTTTGCAACTCAGCTGGTCACAGGGTGTGGCTTTTTCCTGAGAACGCTTTACATTATAAATAAGAGAGCCTTGATGAGCTTGCCAAAGGTTAAGCGCTCTGGTTTTATTAAAGCCTAACTTACACTTTGTCTCACTTAAGTTTCAAAGTAGCCATTTATGTGTGTGAGACTCACATGGACTTTTTTTTTTTCCTTTTCCGCAGCTGAAGAGACTTGTTTTGACAAATATACTGGGAACACTTACAAAGTGGGTGACACTTACGAGCGCCCTAAAGATTCCATGATCTGGGACTGTACCTGCATCGGGGCTGGGCGAGGCAGGATCAGCTGTACCATTGCAAGTAAGAAAGGCCTTCTGTGATGTAATGGAGTTCACATATACATGTTTCTCTCTGTGTCCCATCCTTGCCTTTTTCTGTTATATCTGACTGAATATTTTTCTTTACTTTGGGATTCACCTCAATGACCAAATCCTGTACTTCTGGAAGATGGATCTAAGCAGAGATGGAAACAATCTCTCTCCCTCCCCCCCGTGGCCCCCCCCCCCCCCCCCCGTGTGTGTGTGTGTGTGTGTGTGTGTGTGTGTGTGTGTGTATACAGTGGAAGGTCTCTTGGTTCTTTTCAATAAGATATACTCAAGGGACCTATTCTAAATTATCTGGGCATCTTTAAGCTAGATTGATTGATCATATTATCATCTGCAGCTATGAGCCAGACTCTTTTTTTGTTCTTTGTCATGGAGTCTGGTTCTTTGTGATGAATAGATTAGATTTGGGGAGAAGATCGTGCTGTTCTCAAATACAACACAGAATGATGAGCACAGTGCATCTCCAAGGTACTTTGGGTGCTGGGCCGACTCTCAGGAAGTCTACAGCTAAGGCAATCTTTCTAGTATGACTCATTGGTTTGTCAGTACTTTCTATTAATAAGATTTAAAAAAAACTAACTTTAAATATAAGTCCACTGTCCAAAAGAACCATTCAGTCCCTTCTGAATAGACTAAATCAATATTTCCAACACTTAATGTTAGGGTTTTTCCAAGTTTCCTGGCAAAGCCCTAGTGTCAATGGTACACAGTACTTATGACCCTGCATACAACTCAAGCCATTGGATTTAACAGCCTAAGAAAGCATCAGTGTTTTCACATTCATGAGCATGCATGGTTGCTTTCTGCCAGAGTGCTATTTCCACCCTAGAGTAAAATGCAGGCTCTCCCTGCTTCAGGAAATCGAAATGCTATGCCCATGTAGCTCACCTTTGCTGTCTAAGAGGAGGACAGTTCCTCCCAGCTCTTTTCTGTCTAGGGACCAGATTATCTGTGATCTATCTGGGGAACCATGATTTATATCTTCTTGCCATTCAGATTTCTTCTCCATTTGTGCTTTAACAATTGGCCCAAAGTGAGCAGATACATTGTTAGCCTTCTGCTTTTTTTTTTTTTTTGACCCATGGTTAGGGATTGCATGGTTAGCTGATCTCATGGTTAGGGATTGCATTTTGGCCAACATAAGTACTTATCTCAGGCAGAACACAAGATCAGCACCCCCTGAATTCTCTGAATCACTTTCCCCTAACGTCTGATCTCTTAACAGATCGCTGCCATGAAGGGGGTCAGTCCTACAAGATTGGTGACAAGTGGAGGAGGCCACATGAGACTGGTGGCTACATGTTAGAGTGTTTGTGTCTGGGAAATGGAAAAGGAGAATGGACCTGCAAACCTATAGGTAAGTGGCTCGTATGGGTGACAGCGGGGAAGGGAGGCACAAGCACAGCCCTAACGTGTGCAACCCAAATCAATGGCCAGGATAGCTGAATCACAATGTAAAAACTAGTAAATGTAATACAATTCACCAGTCTTAAGGAAGTCAGATCCTGAAGTATGAAACAAAGAAGCCCTAATTTTGTTTCAAAAAGCACAAGGTGGAGTTAAAATCTTTAGGAAGAAGTGATTTCTTTTGTTTTATATACTATACTGTGTCCTTGGTGAAGACATGTTATTTAAAGGGGGAAAAATTACACTATTGACATATTTCTTGTTGGAACACAGTGGGCTAAAACCCAAAATGCCATGTGGCTTTGGTCACACCTTGGTAATTTCCTTAAAAACAAACATTAAAGGTTGTGGTGGTTTTTTTTGGGGGGGGGGTGTTTGTTTGTTTGTTTCTTTGTAAGTCATTCATAATTTATATTGGTTTAGTTTAGAGACACACACAGATCAGTGGTAGAGAGCACTTGCTGAAGCAAACATAAGGTCCTGGGTTCAACTCCTAGGACCGCATTAATGAGTTAAAAAAAAAAAAAAAGACTGGGATTTTGCATAGGGTCATCTCTCATAGGGTATGGGCATACATTTCTTTCCACTTGAAATGCTAGTGGCAAGCTTGGGACTGGCAAAAAAAGAAAAAAATGCAGTCTGTGTACTCATTAGGAGAAGAAAGTTTGCCTGCCAGCAGGGCTGGGGCTTCCACTCACTTTGGCTTCTTGCTCTGTGCTTAGCTGCAGGGCGTGGCTTCTCTGCTGAACAGAGTGCCACTTTAAGAAATGTGGCTGGGGTTTTGCTTACATGCTACACTTTAAATTACAGGGATACACTATAATTTAAATAGCCTTTTCCCTCTTCTTTCTTTTTGCTTTCCGATTCCTTCTACAGCTGAGAAATGTTTTGATCATGCTGCTGGGACTTCCTACGTCGTGGGGGAGACCTGGGAAAAACCCTACCAAGGATGGATGATGGTGGACTGTACTTGTCTAGGAGAAGGCAACGGACGTATCACCTGTACCTCCAGAAGTATGTTTTAGCTCTTTTCTGTGGAAAACGCAGCCTGCTGTTGCTTCTGGATTCCTAGAGAGAGTTGTCCGTAGTGCTGGGTAATGCTTGGAGAACTTAATGGTGTCATAAGATGTCCAGAAAAACTGTACAACCAACACATTCTGCTTTTTCAGAGGACACCAAATAAGTAGAAAAAGCAGTTCTCGGTTCAACCCTGCCTTAGGCAGTCAGCTAGTAAAAATAAAAAGAGCCTTAGTGATTATTCAGATGCTGAATGGGTCTTCTTAGATCTGGAAATTATCACAGAGATGTTTTTCTGGTCCTAACCACAATCAAATCCCTAAACTAGCATGTAAATGAATCCTTTGACTTGGAGGAGCCATTGACATGAAAATCAAAGGCTCTACAAGTTCAGATTTCCTTCTGTGTTTGAAGTTTAAGTAAGGTTTAATGACTAAACAAGAACCTAATGGAAATGAAAAGTGTCTGGTATTATCCTTCTAATAGGAAAGTGGAACAGATTTCCGTACGTTTGTTCATTTACTGGGCAGAGAGACTGTTAAATTATAACCCATCCCTGCTCATACGCTACAGTGTGAGTAGTAAGGGTCTAGCTTTGTGACTTAAATATTGCTGCAAATGCAGTCAGAAAAAAAAAAAATCAACCATTGATTCAGACAAAGGCATATACATACAAGGACAGAGGTCAAAGGGAGGTGTCTTTCTGCCCAAGCCCCCAGCTAACAGTGTTGTCAAACCTGAGCCTGTTTTCAGTATCCTGGTTGAAACTCCTAATGCTGAGCTTTGTGATTCATACACAAGACTTCCTCATCTTTGACCTACTAAGTGTTCTCTGAAGGCTAAGCTGTACCCCGTTCGTATTTCCCTCCCTACACCACCACATACAAAGTGAGTACTTAAAAAATTTCATTTAATGCATGCTGCTTGTTTGAGAAACTTAGCATGCTGTCAGCAGAGTTTTGAGTGGTAGGTGAGAGTCTGAATTAGATTTCTTTCTACATTTGTTTATTTTGTGTGTGGAGGTGGGAGGGAGGCACACATGCCACAGTATGCATGTGGAGGGCAAAGGACAGTTTGGACCATGCAGGGTGCAGTGACCTCAGGTTGTCAGGTTTGGTGGCAAGTGCCTTTACTCATTAAGCCAGATCAGTGGCCCAGAATTAGATGTCTGATTTGTCTTCAGCTGAAATACTACCACAAAGGTCTGGAAAGTATCATCACAGTTTTAACTCAAAAGGTCTAAGGAGCCTATATGTTTCGGGGAAATGTTTGATCATTTTCTATGACTTATTTTTGTTTAGCAAAGAATTTGAACTTGGATGGTATTTTTAATTACTATTTTAAGCTGGATAAACAAAACACATTCAAGATATCTAGATTTGATTTTTTTTTTGCATTCATTTTAAAATTCATGCTTCAGCAAATTCCAAGGCTGTTGTTAGTTTGAAATTCTACAGATGGAACTTTGAAGGCAGAGGCAGCAATTAAGAGTTCAAGACAATCTTAGAAGGGAGAAGGATGCCCGAGGCCAGCTTTTTACAGCGAGAATAAGAGACAGCATCCTTCACTCCAAAAGGGACCTTAACCATGGAATAAGGCCATTTTGTTGGTGACTTTTATGTTTGTTGTTGTTATTGTTATTATATTCCTATTATTATTACTTTTATTACTACAATTATTTTACAGGGAGGGTTCTCATAAGCCCAGGCTGGCCTAGAATTTACTATGTTGCTGAGAGAGACCTTGAGCTACCTCCCTGTTGCTGGGGTTACAGGTGTGGGTGACTTTGTAATTGTAAAACAGGTATTTTGGGGTGGGGCAAGAAAAGAGAACCTTCTAGCCAAAGAAATTGTTTTTCCATAGGAAACCTTTTACATAACAAGTGGATGAGCTTATCATTTTATAGCTTCCCTGAGGCAGGTGGAAGAGACCTGCCCCTCTATTGTTTGTAGCATTCCTAGGAGAGTTGGCCATTGAAAGGAGAGCCATAGGCTGTAATTTACTAGGAGGTCCGGAAGCCTGCGAAGGAATCAGTAGAATGCCAGAGGATATATTGAGTCAAAAAGGCAATGTAGAATGTCTTAATTTGTTTTTTAATCAATAAAGAACAGTGAACAATTTTTTTCCTTCTCTTTGGACAAATGGAGAGGTAGTGCTGTACTGTAACAAACCGTGTATCTGAGTTTTAGTATCTGCATCACCGCCACTGGATAGGACGTACTAACACCAACAAGAGCGACACAGAAGCATTCTACTGCAACATTCCCGTCTTCGTGTAACCGTCTTTTAGTAACCGGCTGCTTGCCGGTTACTAGATAATTTCTTACTCAATGCTTCTCTCCCAAAACAGACAGATGCAATGATCAGGACACCCGGACGTCCTATAGAATTGGAGACACGTGGAGCAAGAAGGACAACCGAGGAAACCTGCTACAGTGTGTCTGCACGGGCAACGGCAGAGGGGAGTGGAAGTGTGAGAGACACGCTCTACAGAGTGCTTCAGCTGGTGAGGCGCTGGGACTGGGGAGCAGCTCGGTGTGCCATGCCAGGGTGATTTACAGAGTCTCAGCTAAGAAGCTGGGATGATTTATGTAATGAAGTTGAGAAATGCATTTAGTGTCCCAAGATAGAGAACAGAGGTTTGGAAAACATAGTGGTGCTCTGGTATCAGCTCCATCGTGCAGTGTTTGCCTTTTGAGCATGAGGGACAGAGTTCAGTGCTCAGAACCAAAGCAAATATCCAAGTGTGATGATGTTATCCCAGCACCAGGAAGGTGAAGGCAGGAAGATCCCTGGGGATCACGGACCAGCCAGCTTACACTACTTTGGAGCTGTGGGGGTGGTTCCAGGTTAGTGAGTGATGGTGCGGCTGGCCAGCCCACTCTTGGGGGAGTTGGGGAGAGTCATGTTCTAGGTTTGTGAGAGATGGTGTCTTAGAAAGCAAGATACATGGCTCTGGACTTAATCCCTGCCTTCTGCATGCACAAGCTCTCCACACGCATGCGCACATAGATAATGTGCATGCACCCTCACTCACGTGTACAAGTAATAGTGAGTGAATGTGTGGTATGCACTTAGAATCCTCAAGCCCCGGGTCAATTCCCAGCCCCTCCTCCCAAAAAAGCCACCTCAGTAGTTATTGTATAAAATTTAAAAGAATAACTAAAACAAATAAAGATACTTGTATCTCGGATTTTTGTCAGAGTCTGAGGAAGGGTTCAGAGTACTTGCCGACCATGTGCAAAGGCCTAGTTTTGGTTCCCTCTCACTAAATAAAAGGAGGGTTTGTTGTGCCTATGATTCCAGGGATCAGGAAGTAGAGGGATGGAGGATCAGAAGTTCAAAGTCATCCTTGGCTACTTAGTAAGTTCTAGTCAGACCTGCTCAATATAAGATGCTGTCTCATACACACACAGATCTGAAGAGGGAAATACAGCCTTGGTGGGTGGAACCTTCCTGTTATTGTGCTCTGGGTTTTCATCTGACTTTTACCATGTGATATTCCAGCCTTGTTACTTAGCCTCTTAGCAATCAATCATCTAGTTTAATAGTAATTAGATTTTTTCCCTTTTGATGAGTTTATCTTGACCTAATTAATTCTTGTGAAAGCAAACAAGGTTACATTTGATGATCTCTACATTGTCTAATTATCATCAATAAAAACAGCTATTGGCAATAAGACAGGAAAAAGAGTTACGGATGTCAGTCTACTGAACTAGAGTAAGGATTAACTCTTGAGTTAACTAGGATTAAACAATACATGTTAACTATTTTTATGGCATCACTAATATACTGAGGTATTTCATTAAAAGGTTTGAGGAACAGTGTTAAATGAAGCAACCTCTTCTGTGAGGGCCTTGACCTTCAAAAGTCAGATTTGTAAAAGAGAAGCTAGCACATTCTGTTGTGTTAACTATCAGAGGACACTTGTGAGGATTGATGGGTTTTAGGAAAACAAACACATATCCTAAGTAATTCTGCTGAGTACCCACACCCAGGAAGAGGGCTAACTTAGGAAAGCCGTAGCTTTCCAGGGTGTCCTCCTGAGAGCCATGTTTTAGAGAGGGCAGGATATCTTTCCTGTGGATTGTCGGGGTCTCTCAGGAAGAGGAAAGGCCACACCGTGCGTATGCGAACCGTGGGGGAGGGAAGACAGGCAGACCATTTCAGGCGAGGGAGAAGACAGGAGCATGGCACTCAGGAATGGTGAGCAGCTCAGCGGGTTGGAGCTTAGAACAAGGCAGGGCAGGCTAGCAGCCAGGCAGGAGGGGCGTGGTGGAGTAGTGCGGAGCTCACTGATGGCTTGCTTTCTAGCATGACTGAAGGTTTGTTGAAGATAGCCTGCTGTGTTGTGTGGCAGAATACTGTTTGACACTTACGTGTGCTCTTCAGGTGGCTCCAATGAAGTTATCTGAGGAGTCTTGCGACTCACTTCTTGGGCTGAATGCAGAAGTTTCAGGTCAAGCCTGACTCTGGTCTTGTTGATTTCTCGCTTCCAGCTTTCTAACTTTCTTTCTCTCGCTCTTAGGATCTGGCTCCTTCACTGACGTCCGAACAGCTATTTACCAACCCCCGACTCACCCCCAGCCCGCTCCGTATGGCCACTGTGTCACAGACAGTGGTGTCGTCTACTCGGTGGGAATGCAGTGGCTGAAGTCTCAAGGAAACAAGCAAATGCTGTGCACTTGCCTGGGCAATGGAGTCAGCTGCCAGGAGACAGGTAGGCACTGCCTCTGTACGGCAACATCAGAGAACCTGTAGTGAGTGTCCGAAATATCTTAGCTGTTCGTAAAAAAATGTAAACCGACAAACCCAGAGAAGTTTATAATCCTGTGATAAAAATCACAGTGGTTGACATTTTTTTCTAGTCTTATCATGTGTATATTTTCTTCCTGTCCTGAGGATCAAATTGCTTTGTATTATCTGTATTTGCTGAAAGGGATGCTGCAAGAACATCGTTTTTTTTTTTTTCTTGTTTGTTTTTGTTTTCTTTTTTTTTGTTTTCTCAGTGTTTTCTTTTTTTGTTTCTTCTGATGTGAATATACCCATAGCTCTCTGTGTCATCTTTGAATCATAATAACTTGTATTCATAAAGCTTTACAAGTGGGGAAGCTGAGTCACGGTAAGCAGAAGTGTCGCCCGGTGACATTAACCGAGGAACTCCAGCTCACCCTTAACCAGCTGACCTGACTTTTCAGCTTGGCCCTCGAGTAGCACAATCTCCATTTAAATTAGAAACTTGCCACCACTTGGGTCAGGGGTGAGGGTGGGAAAGACTGTACTGACCGAGACTCTTGGTTATGCTTGTAGCTGTGACCCAGACTTATGGTGGCAATTCAAACGGAGAGCCCTGTGTCCTCCCGTTCACCTACAACGGTAGGACCTTCTATTCCTGCACCGCCGAAGGGCGGCAAGACGGACATCTGTGGTGTAGCACAACTTCAAATTATGAAAAAGACCAGAAGTATTCTTTCTGCACAGACCACGCGGGTGAGTGTCCTGGGAGAAACCAGAGCAGGGCAGTCGTCTGTCCTTGCTGTGCACACCCTTCTGCGTGCCAGCAGTCAATCATTAATTCTGAGGCTGCACAGGAACTACCGCTTTGATCTATTTGGACCCAAGAGGCACAGCTAATCCCACAGCAGTGGCAGTCACCATGTCCCTTAGCACCACTGGGGAAATGTCACCGAGGGAAAAGCCCGATGGTTTGATTATTTTGACACATGGGGATTATGATGTGATTAAAGACACTCAAGTATTGAAATCAGTGGATGACCCCACAGAGCCGATGATCACACAGGATAAATGTCAAGGGTGCCAGTACTTATCTTCTGTGTAGAGCCATATTTCACACAAAGCTATCATTTAATCTTTTTTTTCCCTTGGCTGGGAAAATGAGAAAACATGAGATTTAAATCTATTTTGAAAGTGAAGATGGAAATCCACTAAGAAGCTTAGGGCTGTATTATCAGATATCTTTTATTTGTGGATAGGCCCTCTGGGAATTAGCAGCCGGAACTTGGCTCTGTCTAAGCCTTCGGTAGCCTCTCCTAGTACACACCAAAGCTCAGCTGTCATATTCCTGTTTGTATGTTGTCTTGGGCAGTTTTGGTTCAGACTCGAGGTGGAAATTCCAATGGTGCTCTGTGCCACTTCCCCTTCCTGTACAACAACCGTAATTACACCGACTGTACTTCTGAGGGTCGGAGGGACAACATGAAATGGTGTGGCACCACCCAGAACTATGATGCTGATCAGAAGTTTGGATTCTGCCCTATGGCTGGTAAGAGGGAGCCCTGTGAGTTATGCGTGTGGACCGCTAGCAGCCTGTTGACTCAGATTCCTTCTTTTCTCCCTGAGACAATCTGGGAAAGTATGATACATGTCTATATATTATATCTTACATCTGCAAATTGAGAAAACTGTCAATGACCATGGTTATTTGATATTGATACACTTTTAAAATCTCACGACATGATTAAATGTCAAAAGCTACAATGCAATTAAAGTTCTGGCAAATACAGAATTGTCCTCAGTTTACCTGAACACAGAAAGGGGAATCAGGGATTGCTTATTGTTTTTTAAGTTTTGAGAGTCTGGTAGAAGACATTTTTTTTTCCAGCTATAGAACCAGGAGCCTGAGAGTCATGGAGAGTTATGTGCTCAGACGCAAGGAAACTATTTACACTTTCATTTTTCTCATTTCAATAGAAGATGACATTGGGTTTAAGAGGGACAGTCGCTTTTACGTGGGATTTTATGCTCAAACACAGTTTTCCTTTGAACTTGAGTGAACTAAGTGAAGTCACAAGGCTATATATAGTTAAATCTAGTCCTCTAGACAATGAAAATCAATGAGTATATGAGGTTTTCCTAGTCTAATATTCTCCACCCCTTTTGGTATTTCTCTCCAATCTCCTTTAGACTAGCTCTTTCCTGGAGAGTTCAAAACTCCACCCTCATCCAGCTGAGTGCATGCAAGTCTTCTTCCCAAATGAGAGAGGATTCTCAGGATTATCAAACAAGACTGCTAACTTCATCTGCCTATCCGTTTGTATCACACGACTGTTTACCAAGTATTTCTTCTTCGTTTCCAAACAGCCCATGAGGAGATCTGCACAACCAATGAAGGGGTCATGTATCGCATTGGGGACCAGTGGGATAAGCAGCATGACTTGGGCCACATGATGAGGTGCACGTGTGTTGGGAATGGCCGTGGAGAATGGTCCTGCATCCCCTACTCCCAGCTCCGAGGTATGCTGGTGTATTGATGAAGAAGTCTGTGTGAAAACTTGTAGTTGCCAAAAGCAGAGAAGGAAGCATGCAGTTCCCAGTTATCCACTCACTCACTGTGCTGGAGAAGTTTCTCCTTTCCAGAAACCCACTGAGAAAAAGCTGGCGAGCGAGTTGAGTAGTTCTAGGGCTCTGGACATATTCCCAGGATGTAAAGCATTTAGGTTGAGCCAAAAGGACGGCTTTCCCAAAGAGAGACCAACATTTGATCCTTTTAGCTCGAGGTTCTGCCGGTGTTTATGTCTAGAGAAGATAGCATCATTTCTCTAAGGGAAAAAAATGTCATGTATTTGCCAAACTTAAGGAGATGAACACATGCTTAAACTAATTTCTTTTGTTCAAATCAGTTTTTTTTCCCCTTTGGACTCAGACATATGATATGAGGAGTTGTTGATTTATTAAAGCAATTTCACTTTTCCATTTCTTTGTTTGGAAATGTAATATTTAGGTGGAACTCAGTTGGTAAACTCAGTTCCCGTAGCCAGTCCATAGACAGTGCATTCTGCATTGATTCCTTTTACGGTGTCCAATGGATAGAGATATCTGGGAGTCGTCTTTGTTACTTAGAACATGACAGAGCAGGAAGGAAATGGTAATAAGGTGTGCAAAACATCCCTTTTTTTGACAGATGAGAAAATGGGGTTCCAAAGATAGAATGTAACTTTTTTGGGGATTTCTCGTTGTGGAATACCAGTGACTTACATTCTACAACTTTATGAACACTATAGATGTCATTTTATTTCCCAGACCCAACTATCTTTAACTTCTGTCTTAGGCTTCTATTGCTGTGGAATATTATGAGAGAGAGAAAGAGAGAGAGAGAGAGAGAGAGAGAGAGAGAGAGAGAGAGAGAGAGAAGCAACTTGGGGAGGAAAAGGCTTATTTCAGCTCACTCACACCTTTCAGGGCCTAGTCCATCACTGGTGTAAGTCAGGGCAGGAGCTGAAGGCAGGCATCTGGAGGTAGGAACTGAAGCAGTAAAGGCCACAGATCGAGGAGCACAGCTTACTTACTGGCTTGCTCTTCGTGGCTTGTTCAACCTGCTTTGTTATATAGCTCAGGACTACCTGCCCAGGGGTAGCACTGCTTGCCCGCCATAGAACGGGTCCTCCTCCAACCAACCATTCATCAAAACAGTACCTCCCAGACTTGCCTGCAGGCCAGTCTTATGGAGACATTTGTCTCTACTGAGATTCTCTCATCACAGATCTGTGTAGATTATGTCAAGTTGGTAAAACCCAACCAGCATGCACTGCTCTCCATCCAGAATATAGACAACCACATTATAGTGTGTGCTATATGCTATGTAAATTTCTCTATTCATCTTATGCTAACAACCAAAAATTTAAATAATATCATCAACTAAATGAGAATGTTAGAGGAAGTAAGGCATGCATTTGTTGAAAAATTAGTTTCTGCACAGGAAACTATATTTTACCATGGCTTTTAGTTTAATGGACTGTAATCTCTGACAATTATAAGTCTATTAGTCAGAATAAGAGGGGAGTAAAAATTAATATTATTAAGCTTTGAAAAAGAGCTTAATTCAGTGCCAGTAGAAAATATATTTTAGCAGGTGTTAGATCCAGCAGTAGAACCTAAAAGCTTTGAAAAATACAGTTTTTGATTTCATTAGTCAAAGCTCATCACCCACCCAACTGTTCCCTGGACAGATCAGTGCATCGTTGATGACATCACTTACAATGTGAACGACACATTCCACAAGCGTCACGAGGAGGGACATATGCTGAACTGTACCTGCTTCGGTCAGGGCCGGGGCAGATGGAAGTGTGACCCCATCGGTAAGTGGCTGCCTCTGCTTGGTTGGTTTTCACCGAGGAGGTTGGTTGGTTGGTTGGTTGGTTGGTTGGTTGGCTAGTTGAGGATAAGGAAAGCTATTTGGTGTTGCTGGATGCATTCTCTCCAGACCTGACTCATCCATCGGTCTGCAGAGAGCTTTGCAAAGTGTCTTCTCATGGGCCAGTATACAATCAGATCTGCCACTCATGGATTTTGTTGTCCCTCAGTTTGGTGATAAGGGTGGCTTTACTGTGGTTAAGTGGGGTTAGTTTTTTTGGTTCTTTGTCTACAACAAATGAAGTTTCTATTACTGACAGTAGAAACATGGGTATAGGACTAAGCCAGTAGATTACCAGCCCCCTCCTCCCACCCCCCCAAAACACTTCAGTTTTTGGCTCTCTGTGCAATAAAGTGGGCTAAGAGTGAGCATTCAACATTAAAAAGAGCTCTATTCCCCAAATCCAAAGTCTAAGATAATCACTTCATATCCCTTTACCGAAGGAGACAGACTGCTTACTGAGACAGCAAATTGATCCCAGCAGTTTGTTTGGCCTGAGATTGTAAAGCCGAGAGATCCCGGGAGGCTTGCTTACAAAGCCATTCAGGCTTCAAATTTAGCTCATTAATGTGAAGCTACCTCCTGAATTCTGAAGAAGTGTACAAAATGAAATCATTGCAAAGTTCTTTCATGCTTTACAGATGGCAAGTCAGTTACTTTGATGACTAGTTTTAAATTTTTTAATTGGTATCTAGTTTTCTAAAATTAATTTTCAGATTTTGGCTATATACTGACATTTTAATGTTTACATTTTTAAAAATTTTTTAGTAATGTTTCCCTTTTAGGATGCTAAATATCCTTCCCAAAAGCTACATTTTAGTTTTTACTACTAATTTTCCCATAAGGTAGATGATTTGAACAAAATATTACTTTAAGACTGGGGAAATGGTTTCACACACATGTGCACGTATCACACATACAAACACATACACTTGTAACTATGACTTTAACTATATTTGTAAAAATTGAAATTTTTTATTCATATTTTAATAATATACTCGATCACACTATAATGATGTGTTTGAGACTGTTTTAATATTTTCTTTGTGTCTGTTCTAGACCAGTGCCAAGACTCAGAGACCCGGACATTTTACCAGATTGGTGACTCCTGGGAGAAGTTTGTGCATGGTGTCCGATACCAGTGTTACTGCTATGGCCGTGGCATTGGAGAGTGGCACTGTCAACCTCTGCAGACCTACCCAGGTAAGCAGCTCTGGGACAGAAGCTGACCCGTGGATGCCAGTCTCTGCGACTACTTGGAAACCCAATGGGAGTCTTGCTTTGTCCCATCCCTTTTCATATCACTGTCCGATAGTTAATTACATTTTCAACTTAAATTGTTCTTCTTCCGCCCTTCATCAAGTGAACATCACCAAAGGCTTTAAAAAAGTGCATGCTACAGTTTTGCATTTTACACTGCCGAGCATTCTATTAGGTGAAAACATTCCAGTTCCATTTGATCTCACTCAGTGAGCGTGTGTATGTGTGTGTGTGTGTGTGTGTGTGTGTGTGCGCACGTGTGCGTGTAAGTAGAAACCATTAAGTGACTTGGACTAGAAGTAAAAGAGAGTTTTATGTCCTGTTTCTTAAAGAGAAGCACAAAGCCTGCTTTGTTACGTAGCTCAGGACAATTTTCATTTTAGTGAGATGGAATGTGGAACTAAATCTGGAGCCAAGAACCTTGGTCAACTCCACCCACACAGTTTGAGTACCCCAAAATATTTATTGTGGTTTTATTGTTGTTATTTATTGCTAGGTATTCATTTTATTGTTTGTTGTTTGCTCTTCCGTAAAGACGTTACACCTAGCTGTGGGTGTTAATTCGTTTTGGGGAAAACATTTACAATTCATTGAATGGCTGTAATGACACATGTTGAATTATGACCATTTCATCAGTCTCCTAGATTTCTGTTATTTATTTATTTATTTATTTATTTATTTATTTATTTATTATCTTCTGTATGTGTGTGGAGAGGGCACTGGGCCATGGCACACATGTGAAGGTCAGAGAGGACTTTGAAGTTCTTTCTTCACACATTTCTTTATATGGGTTCTGGGCATCAGATTTAGGGCTACAGGCTTGTGTGGGGCAAGCACCTTACACTGACCCATCTTGCTGGCCCAAATTTTAGACATGAAATGAAACATGACCTGTATTCAGAAACAAAAAGATTTGGGGGAGGGGTGGCTGGAGATAATCCACAATCAATAAAAATTATTGTAATAATAAATTAACTCCATAAGTGTTAAATTAAATTAATTTGCATAAGAGTCCCAGAGTGAACTGTGAGAGCCAAAGGCAATGTAAGCACGTGAGCAAGCTTTGAGTCCTTGCTGTGAAAGAGACACTAAGTTAGCTTCTCACCTGTATAAAGGGAGGCTAGCTAACCACCTTTAAAATTGCTTCCAGTCCTGCAGTAACAGTCAGCGACCCAGAGCACCCATCCACCATTCATGCAATGATGTTTTTTGTTTGTTTTTCAATGACAAGGTTTCACTGTGTAACTCTGGCTGTCCTGGACTCACTTTGTGGACCAGGCTGGCCTCAAACTCACAGAGATCCACCTGCCTCTGCCTCCCAAGCTCTGGGATTAAAGGTGTTTGCCTCCCATATCCGGAATACAGTCATTGTTTCTATGTGCTGGGGATATCCTGTTAGGATAGCATAGATGACTGCTTCCACAGGTGTGTGGCTCAGAGCAGCCTGTATTTCTTGCTGGACTTAGGTTTAAGAGTGAGTTACTTAACATTTTTAAAAATTTAATACAGTTGCTTTGTTTTGCTTTTTGAGAGTCTTCTCTAGCCCTGGGTGGCCTCAAACTTACTATGCGGCCAGTTTGATCCCCTCTCCTGTCTCTGTTTCCAAAAGGCTGGGATTACAGATGTGCATATTACACCTGGTCAACTTACAGTTTAAAATCTGATTACAAATATGCCATAAATTCAGAAAATGCATATTTCGGATGGCTGGAGTTTTCACTGATACAGGCCAAGAATAGAAGCTAATTTTTGTGTTCATACTCAGTTTTAGCAGGGCAATTTTTGAAACTTATTTTCTTTTGAGACCTTTTCTTTTAAAATAAGCCTATTCACATAGTCTCACTGCAAAGACTGAGGGTAGATTCTGCTGCATAGGAAAGAATCAGCTAGCGGGAGTTTTACTTGTTGACTTTGTTCCCTGTCTCTAAAAAGGGCAATGTCAAAAGCTCATTGAACACAAAAGAGATTTCAGGGCAAACAGATGAGTGCTTGACCCCAGAGAGCGCTCAGTGTTTATCTCTATGGCAGCTTTGCTCTAGGGGTTCATGCCTAGCCTGTGAGCCTCCAACAAGAAACCAAAGATGGCCGAAAGACTGTGTCTGAGCCTTGCCCTGTTTGTTCTTCTTACTGAGTAGGTAGAGCTGTTCAAACTAACAAAAGATAACAGGAATTAGGTTTGTCAATAAGCAACCAGGAAAGTACAGCTCTCAGCAAATTAAGTAGAGAAAGAACCATTCGGGTCAAAAAAAAAATCATGAATGTTTAACTTCTCCAGGGTCACTATTATCGGAAATCACTCGTTCTGACCTTATTTCCAACTGATTTTGAAAGTGTAGAATGTGTCATCCTACAGGTCAGGTGAAGAGCTCACCGTGGGACTTGCCATTAGAAGCCTAAAAGGTCCAGGGGGATGGGGGGTGGGAATCACACCAACGAACCAGCATCGAAACACTTAAATTTAAATAGTGTAAATGATAGCTAGCCCTTTAACTTTCCCGTCTTTAAATTGTATGTAGGGGGTAGTGAAGAGCTGGAATTTGTTTAATTGACCTAGAAAACAGATGATGAGGTTTTTTTGTTTTTTTTTTTGTTTTTTTGTTTTTGTTTTTCCATTCCTGCACAGAAATGCTCAAAATCCCTTTTGCCATTTAAGGCAGTCCCTTGAAAGTGGACCCTGTCATCATTTTAGGGGCCTGGAGAGCTGAGAGCTCAGAGGTTAAGAGTCTATAGTCTTCATACAGTTTTATTCCCGTCCCTCCCATTAGACAGCACGTTTGCTGGACCTCCGGCTCCAGGGGATCGCAGGCCTCTGTCCTCGGCCAGCACCTGTACTCTCTCACAAGAAGGCATTGTAAAAAGTAAAAATAATAGCCAGGCAGTGGTGGCGCACGCCTTTAATCCCAGCACTTGGGAGGCAGAGGCAGGCGGATTTTCTGAGTTTGAGGCCAGCCTGGTCTACGGAGTGAGTTCCAGGACAGCCAGGGCTACACAGAGAACCCCTCCCCCCCCCAAAAAAAATTAAAAATAATAGAATTTCAGATGGAAGGCTGCGATGGAAGGCTGAGAAAGGAAACGAATGTTCTGTAGTTCTGATTCACTTGGGTTAACCATTGCAACCATCTTTCTCTCCCTCCCTCATCCTTGTGAACACGGGGTATGATGAGTAGACAGACAGTGAATGTCATCTGAATTCTCTTAATAGACTTATCAAGGAGATTTAATCATCACAAGTTTTCCTGCCTCAAACTCAGTAAATAAGATGTGTATGAAATCTATTTCTACCTGAGAGATAATAGTAGGATTTTTCTAAAACAGCAATGCTTAATAACCTTATGCAAATTGTCACCAATAACATTAAGACAAACCGTCTGTTTTTACTGATTTATATGGAACCTCTTTGAATAGTGTTCAAAAGGAAGTTTTTTAATATGTTTATATTTGTGAGGCTCTTCGTCTGGGGAAGGAGAGATCCCAGAGGGCTATGCAAATGACGTGTGTTAATTGATCGAACAACCAACCTGTGTGGTGTGTGGCTCGTATGCCCTTTAGGATGCAAAGCTGCAAATTTTGTCATTTTACCTTGTAGCATTAAGTGAAATCAAGACTCAATGAATATTTGTTAGTCTTCAACAAGCTCAATTATTCCCAGTGTGGAAGTTGAGTACAAAATTTTCTGAGGTCACATAAATATGTAAGTTACATATTTGTTCTGCTAAGAAAGATTTTGTTTTCAAAGAATTTAGAAGCTTAAGACCATAATTAAATCTTAAAGTCAATATATCTTTTTCCAAGAGCATTCAGAAAATTGCAGTTAGTGCAGAGTGCTACATTATCAGCATGCAGAATTCTGTTGTGTTCACAGAGCATCAATGAGAATCTTGTGTCTTACACAGAGCATCAGAGCGAATCTTGTGTCTTAGGTTTTTATAAGGACTTTGTACAGATGAACTTGGACCGACAAAGAATATAGTACAGAGAAGATAAATTTCCATTCTGTAAACAGATTTTTCTACAAAATTTCATTAGTATCCTAAATGGAATCTACTATATTAAAAAATTGATTCCCTTTTATTTTACTCCCCTCCCCCCAGGAAAAGAACTGAATCTATCTAAAATTTGGTTATTAACAGTCATATCAAGATCTGAAAAATATTGAATTTTAAATATATGCTTTCAAATGTCATTTCACTTGGTGATCGCTTAAAAAGATTTTTTTTTGAACAGTTTGACCCACAGTGGTTTTAAGAGTATATTTCTTAGTAAATGGAAAAAAAAAAAAAACTAGATTTATTTTTCCAAAGTAGAGAACGTTTAGAGTGATGGAAATAATTGATCTTTAATTATTACCTTTGTCTGTTTGTCCGGATTCAGCCCCATTTAGAAATGTTTGTTTTATACTTCCCATAAAGCCTTGAGAGTGTTGCTTCCTTCTGAGCAGATTCCTCTGTGCTGAAAGCCTCCATGATTCAGAATTTGTCTTAAAAGAGCCTTAATATAATTAGTCCATGAGGTCTGCGTTCTGAACTACATTCTTCATGTTAAGGAAATTTCACAGTTGTCTCAAGTCTTACTTTAAAAGCCAGAGAAGAAAGCAAGCTATGAGACATTGGAGTGGTTTCTGTCTTATTTATTAGAAAAAGAATTCTAATTGCATTTCTTATGGAAAAGGCAATAATTACCAGGTAAAATCAGACCTGTTTTATTCTGCTTCTTCTAATGTCAATATGTAGAAGTTTATTTATTTATTTATTTACTTTATGTGAGTATACACTGTCACTGTCTTCAGACACACCAGAAGAGGGCATTGGATCCCATTACAGAGGGTCGTGAGCCACCATGTAGTTGCTGGAAATTGAACTCAGGATCTCTGGAAGAGCAGTCAGTGCTCTTAACTGCTGAGCCATCTCTCCAGTTCAATATGTAGAAGATTTAACTGGACTCAATCATTTTTATTATGCCCATATTTCCTGAGAAGCAAAAAGTCTTTTAAGGATGGACATGTTTAACAAAACTTTAAGAACACACAAACTAAAGAAATAACACGTTTTCATTTTCAGGCACAACTGGACCTGTTCAAGTAATTATCACAGAGACCCCCAGCCAGCCCAATTCCCACCCCATCCAGTGGAATGCCCCGGAGCCTTCACATATCACCAAGTACATCCTCAGATGGAGACCTGTGAGTATTAGCTCAGCAGCCTTGGACTCTGGCCCCTGACCTCACTGGACTAGGATGTGCTGCCCTGTGGGTTTGCTTCTGCTTTTGAGTGAACAGATCTGATTCCATGTCAGATAGTGGTTATATTTTCTTAGTGTCTAGCCTATATATGTAATTAGGATTTTCAGAATTTTTTTTTTGATATGTAGAAGAAATTAAATTAGGTCTTTGCCTTAGGAAGATCTTAGAAACCATAATACTATAATAATACTATACTATAGTACTAATATATATACTAAAATACTATTCTCATCCAACGTGGAAAGAGAATTTGAAAATGATTTTCAGAGTTTAAAAGCAGCTAAATGGATATCATTCTTTTGACTCAACGCAACTGTCCTCTCAAGTTATTTAGACAGAAGGGAATGAGGTATTGAGTGAAGGAGGATGGGGAATGGATTATAGGAACCGAACCCTAGCGTTTTCTAACTATCCAGATGCCAAAACCATAGCAAGGAGGCTATTATATTAGTCTATTAAACTTTGATGTCTCTTCCTTTCTCAGAACTGCCCTCTTCCATCTCCAAAGTTGATGACATAATTTAAAACCACTATTTCAGAAAGGAGAAAAATGTACTTTTAAAAATCAAATCTACCCAACTGAACCATTATTAATCCTAGACTACAACAACCTGTCTGACTTATGACATTAACTCACACAGTCGAATTTAAACTCTTTGGAGAATTCCATCCTATTGAGCTCACTGTTTTTCTTCAGTTGCCCTGTGTTGTCCTCAGTCCTGAGTGGTCAGTCGACAACTTAATTAACATCTGGCGATGTCAACCGCCAGTGATGCCCTTTCCACTTCAGTAGCTTCTGTCTCTCCGCATCTTTTCATTTTATCACCGTCTTTACTGACTTGGAACTTAACTAGGAAGTGTTTTACAAAGCCACTACAAATGGGACATTTACAGATAGGTATGAAATACACATTGAATTGAGGTATCTTCACATTTGATTAAATTCTTCGCATACATTTTGGCTTTGGTTTTGTTGTGTTTTGTTTTGAGATGATGTCCCATTAGGCCAAGACTGGTTCATAGTCTTAGGATAGCTAAAGATGATCTCCCTGCTGAGTGCTTGATTACAGGTGTGGCTCGGCCGTATTGCTAGAGATTGAACTCAGGCCTTTTGGCCACTTTAGGCAAGTGCTCTGTCAACCAAGCCACACCCACAACTCTCTTTGAAAATTTAAAAAGAATTTCTGTTTTTGTTTTTTAAATGTAGGCCATCTGAGAGTTTATATTCTCATATTTTCTTCTGATGGCCAATTGCTAATTTTTAAGCTAACAAAATGGCTAACTTCAATTTCTTTCAGCATATTTGAGCTAAACCTAAAGTTTAAAGAGTACTTGCTTGGACCACTTTCATTTATCTCCAAAATAAAAACAGGCATTAGAGCATTTGAAGTATGTACAAACTTGATTAGATAACATTAAAAAAAAATCACTGGGCATTAAACATGTATTTGATATTTAAACCACTTTAGAGTATTTACACTTAAAAGGATTTCTTGTTTGAAGTCTGGGTGTTTCTTTTCCACACAATCTATTGCAATGAGTTTTGCGGTCCATGACATATTAATGAAGTTGGACAGGATATAAAAATGTAAACTGGAGGGAAAAGATTAAACAAACCAAACTATATTCTTCTGCAGTCTTTCCCAAAGTTGGCTAACCACTCTTGATGGGTTGTTCATTTCCAAGGATGAGTCACGCCACCAGACAAGTTGAACCTTGTTTGTGATGGCCCCAGGATCTGAGTCAAGGCAATATTATGCTTTCCAGTGTCCTGCGAGGCAAGAAACTTGAAATGTATCCCACCAAGTTGAAAGATAGAATGTGAGGCCTTTTCTCACTTCAGAGAGAAATGTGTCTCTGTTTACCAGAAAAGTCGAGAGGCTGATTTGAGGATGCTGGTATTAAATTATTCAAGATTTGGCCAGAGGGAAGGTATTCAGTGCCTCAACTGTGTAACTTTGAAAACATCATTAACTGTCTCTCCACCTGTAAAGTTCAAACAGTGATGCTGTTCACTTCCGGCAGGAAGATGAAGATTAAGGGGAGAAACAAGCAAAATAGCCCTGAGCACTTCAGAGACTACTTGGACTACTAATTAGTTAACATCGACAAACCATAGAGTCCCTGTTCTGAATCAAGGTTTTCCACCATTTTTCTTCCAAAATGGAGCCTCAAGAATCCTATCCTCCATTCTTCTTTGAAGATTACTAAACACCGAATTTTCCTTCTACATTCTCAGAAAACCTCTTCGGGTCGCTGGAAGGAAGCTACCATTCCAGGCCACCTTAACTCCTATACCATCAAAGGCCTGACCCCAGGTGTCATCTATGAGGGACAGCTCATCAGCATACAGCAGTACGGACACAGAGAAGTGACTCGCTTTGACTTCACCACCAGCGCCAGCACGCCTGTGACCAGTATGTGTCCAGCGTCTTTTGGGGCTGTGCCTGCGTTAGCTCAGACCCGGGTTCCCCAGGGCAGATTCTGTCTTTAGCTACTGCTTTTCTTGAATGGCACCTGCATTTCCCTTTTAACATCCTCTGCACACACAGAGCGTGAGTATTCCAGATAACCGACCGCTCTTGTTCCCTCCCCTTTCTCTAGGCAACACAGTGACCGGAGAGACCACGCCCTTTTCTCCCGTTGTGGCCACTTCCGAATCTGTAACTGAAATCACAGCCAGCAGCTTTGTGGTCTCGTGGGTCTCAGCTTCCGACACCGTGTCAGGATTCCGGGTGGAGTATGAGCTGAGCGAGGAGGGAGATGAGCCACAGTACCTTGGTGAGTAGAATGTGTGGTTTGCTTGGCTTGGGTTAATAGATTCTTGACATTTGAGAATTTTGGTTCTGAAACTACTCCACAGTTCAAACTGAAGACACTCCCTTCCAACAAAGAAAGAGGAGGGGTGAAACCTCTCTGACAGGACTGGGATTCCCTGGGTACCTTTCTGTTCTCTGCTGCTGTATTTCTCACATATCCACGTAAGGGAACAGAACTCGAGACCTGCTATCCTTTAGGGGTGCATAGTTACCTTCTTGTGTACTTTTAAAATAGCCCAGTGATTAAGGGCCTTTAAAGATGTTTGCTGGTGCCAGTGAGGCAGCTGAGTTAGTAAAGGCTCTTGCCGCTAAGCCTCATGACCCGAGTTCAATCCCTGGTTGGAAGGAGATGACTGACAGAGACCTCTAGTCCTCTGACCTCCCACATGTGTAAACCCCTCCCCCCCAAATAAATGTAATAATCAAAAGAACATACTTGTGTGAATAGGACCCACGTCATAAAAATGAATATCCTTCCAACCCTACCCTGTCATCCTTCCTTCATGGCTACTATTCTGATTTCTAATGACAGCTATGGTTGAAAAAATCAGAGGGAGGTTATTAAAAATTATACATCTTCAGGGGGAAAGTGGAAAATGAAAGGATTTACATTGGAAATTGCAGGCTGTTCACTAGATCATTCATCGTAGACTTTCACCCTATGAATATAGCTTTCTTAGAAGCCACGGGAGATTGGTTTGCTCTGGCCACTAACCTTTGCCCTGTATTTTAAAGATCTTCCAAGCACAGCCACTTCTGTAAACATCCCTGACCTGCTCCCAGGCAGAAAGTACATTGTCAATGTCTATCAGATATCTGAAGAGGGAAAGCAGAGCTTGATCCTGTCTACATCACAGACTACAGGTATGTGTGCACCAAACCGTGTTAACAGAAACTTTTGGGGTGGGGTATGTTGGGCGATACATACATACATCATATCATACATACATAAACTCGTTCACAAAGCTTTGGGGTGCTGAGGCTTGAGTTCCAGGTAGTGTGGATTAAAAAACACTGTTTTAAAAAACCAAATCTTTAAAGACTCTTTGTTTTTCTATAAAGCATGGGCTTGTAGCAACAATGATTGACTTCCTCTTTTTCTTTTAGCACCTGATGCTCCTCCAGACCCGACTGTGGACCAGGTTGATGATACTTCCATTGTTGTTCGATGGAGTAGACCCCAGGCACCTATCACAGGTCATCTTTGACTTCTATGTGTGTTTTGATATATAGATGTGGCAGGAGAAAATTCTGACTACACTGGCATCACCTTAAATCTCCCATTTTCAGTGGTTGGAGAGGTGTGTGTGTGTGTGTGTGTGTCTGTCTGTCTGTCTGTGTGTGTGTTCACTTCAAATCTTGTAGTGTGTCCACAACAAATCTTTGAATTGTTTTCCTTCGAGTCTGTTTAGCGCGCCCCCATCCCTGACATATGCATATGCAGCCTATGAAGCCAGCCCAGGGGTTCACTGCAGTAGGCATTTCAAGGGCTGCAGAGGTGGATTATTTCTGTAAACCTGATGCTCACTGGTGAAGAGGGAGCACAGCTGCCGCTCTAGCTTCATTAGTGAAGTTCCCAAAGGTGCAGGCAGTGCTCATGCTGATTCCTCAGCTCCGAGAAGAGAAAGCAGCTTACTATGAATATCTCTCTTCATGGCTTCACTTACTGACGTTTATTAAGGATCTCTGTGCTCAAGGATGCTGTTTTATTATTAAAAGATTCCTATCACTGTTATCTCTGAGCCAGTCAGGCATTATCAGAGGAAATGGTAACACTGAAAGACCCAGAAAGACTCTTGCTGATTCTTAACAGTCATACAAGATGCAGAGGGCCATTAGAAAGGAGAATTATAATTTGTCTAGCCTCCGCTTCAGAAGATCTTGTGTCTAAACACTTTTCTCCTAAACCTGCAGGGTACAGAATTGTCTATTCACCTTCAGTAGAAGGCAGCAGCACAGAACTCAACCTTCCTGAAACAGCTAACTCCGTCACCCTCAGTGACCTGCAGCCTGGTGTTCAGTACAACATCACTATCTATGCTGTGGAGGAAAACCAGGAGAGCACGCCCGTTTTCATCCAACAAGAGACAACTGGCACCCCACGATCTGGTAATTTAAAAACAACCCATCCCCTAGTGTCTGATCTCTTAGGACTAGACGAGAAAGCAGCTCTAATCTTGCAGGGGAAGATAAAACCTATATGGATTATATTCATTCTTTAGCCTCCAGAGAGGACTGAGGTATAAGTCACATGAGAGACAGGCCCCTGAGACTGAGCTGTTTTTGTCTTCGTCAGCTCTTTCTATGTTCCCATCACCCAAATCAATGGTTCACAATTTTCCCAATGCTGTGATGACCCCAACCATAAAATTAGTTTCATGCTACTTTAACTGTAATTTTGCTACTGTTGTGAATCATAATTTTAATATCTGTTTCTGATGGTCTTAAACGACCCCTGTAAAAGGGTCACTTGACCCCCAAAGGAGTCGCAACTCACAGGTTGAGAACTGCTGACTTAAATGCTAAAATGTCAGCACTGAGAAGGAACTTATCAAAGACAACTATTGGGTTTTCTGGTTAAAAGCTCACAACATCTCAACATTTTCTAGGATGCTTAAGAATTAATCTGTTCTCTTAACTAACATCAAATGAGTTAGTTAAACAAACACACCACAGTTTTTTTGTAAAGTAAAAACATTTATTTTTGTGTATTATTTTAACTTCTTGGTTTTATGTTAAATTTATGCCTATCTATAGATACTAAATAAAGATTTCAATATCAGTTTGACTAACCATGAATATCTACACACACAGACACACACACCTATTTTTTGATTAAGAGGCAAAACCCAGTATTGACCTAGAATGAGTGGGTCTAAGAAATGCCAGAATTGTTCAGGGAGCTAACTTTTAGCATCAACCCTCAGTGGGAATTGTGAATGACTCATTTCTCTTGTCTGCTAGATAATGTTCCACCTCCGAAGGATCTACAGTTTGTGGAAGTGACAGATGTGAAAGTCACCATCATGTGGACTCCTCCTGATAGTGCAGTGTCTGGATACCGTGTGGACGTCCTGCCTGTCAGCCTGCCTGGGGAACATGGGCAGAGGCTGCCTGTCAACAGGAACACCTTTGCTGAAATCACCGGGCTGTCCCCTGGGGTCACATACCTCTTTAAAGTCTTTGCTGTGCATCAGGGCAAGGAAAGCAATCCTCTGACAGCACAACAGACCACCAGTACGTCCCTGGGCCTGCCTGCCTGTCTTGTTTGCTCCCCCCACCCCCCATCCTCTATACCCTCAGTTCTACCTGGGATAACTACAGCATGCTGCTCACTCCCAGGTTCACGGCCTAGCAGTAAGGGAACAACCAGTTGAAGGGAACGTCGAAGGTGGAATGAAACTAGGGTTCTGAGAAGGCTAACTCCAACATACATGGTTCCAACACGCATGTCATGCTTCCAACACACATGTCATTTCCAACATGCTTGCTGTTGGAATGTACGATGGAGAGTGGTTAAAAGAGTTAGAGTGTTCTTAGCTAATGGGAGACATGGAGATGCAATTTCAGTGCTTCTGTCTTCCTTCTTCCCCTCCCTCCCTTCTTTTTTCCTTCTTTCCTTCCTCCTTCCCTCCCTCCCTTTCTCCTTCCCTCCCTCCTCCCTTCCTTCCCTCCCTCCTTCCCTTCCTTCCTTTTTCCTTCCTTTCTTTGAGCTAATCTATGTGATTCTTTCTGATACTCCATGGGACTGGGGTTCTGCATATGTTTTAATTATTGTAATTAGGTCCATGTCAGGTAGCTTTTATTTCCTCAGCTGAGGACAGGTCAGTCAATCAACACATGTGTTAGCATATTGCCTAAAGTACCAACCAAGCTTTTCCTTTCCTTTCCTTTCCTTTCCTTTCCTTTCCTTTCCTTTCCTTTCCTTTCCTTTCCTTTCCTTTCCTTTCCCTTCTTCCCCTTCCTCTTCCCCTTCTTCTTCCCCTCCCCCTTCCCTTCCTTTCCTTCATTCTCTTTTCTTTCTTCCCCACCAGGCTTTTCTTTTCCTTTCCTTCATTCTCTTTTCTTTCTTCCCCACCAGGCTTTTCTTGCCCTAGTTCTGTTGGATTTACCCTACTCCCTTAACCTTTTTGGCCCAAAGCAAATTGTGGAGTTTGCAAAATGTTTCTTTTGCTTTAGAAAAGAAAAAAAAAGTAATACTGTCACTAGAATGTAACTGTAATTTCCAAGAGTGGTGGGTAAATCTTTGCTGGGAAAATTAGCCTTTCCAAAGGATCATAGACAAGTGAAAAAGGTCAACGAATTCTCATAACTGACAAAGTTTGGGCAAAATTCTACACCATCCCCAGTCTCCCAGAGCCTCACAGTTTCCAGGGCTGTGCCTCTGACTTTAGTTCCTACCTTGAGGAATGAAAGGTTGGGATGCTTAATCAAGCTGGAGGATTTTAGCATGGCCGTTATTGATCTAAACGTGTCTTGACACATTTCATCTATTTTTTTCCAGAACTTGATGCTCCCACTAACCTTCAGTTTGTCAATGAAACTGACAGAACAGTTATGGTAACGTGGACTCCACCTCGAGCTCGAATAGCAGGCTACCGACTGACCACCGGCCTGACCCGGGGAGGCCAGCCCAAGCAGTACAATGTGGGACCCTTGGCCTCCAAGTATCCCCTGAGAAATCTACAGCCTGGGTCTGAGTACACTGTGACCTTGGTGGCTGTGAAAGGCAACCAGCAGAGTCCCAAAGCCACTGGAGTCTTTACTACCCGTAAGCTAAAATTCAAATGCCTTTCTTTAGTGAAGCTACCTGTTCTTAACTATTGGCTTTTTCTGTCCTTCTACTTTTCAAAAGTTAACTTAGAAAACCCTGGTGCATCATTTAAAGCAGTGTCATTGAAGGTATGCCCCATGAACAGGCTGGTACTCTCTGAGTATTTCTTACTGGTCTGCTGTAACATACAGAGCTTTGCCAGAATGGGCATCATAGTACATGGCCTTTGCCCAAGCTGATGAATGTTTTGAAGAAAGACTCTGTTGCTGAGGGAAACAGTGTTGATTTGCAGGTATTTCCAGGTTCTTTCTATTCTTCTGGGCTAACAGTGAGTAAGGAGGGCTTGGGAGGTAGTTCAGTGGGTTAAACAAGTGCTGCTTACACCCAAGGGCTGAGTTCGGCTCCCCAGCATGGACATAAAAAGTCAGTGCATAATTGTAATCCTAGCACTAGGAGACAGACAAGAGGATCTGGAGAGGCTTATATATAGCCAGTGTTGCTGGTCAGTAACTCCAGATTCTCCAGAAATACACTGCAGAGGCTGGTGTGGGGGTACACACTTTTCATCTTGGGAGGCAAAAGCATGTGGATGTCTGAGTTTGAAATCAGCCTGGTCTACATAGCGAGTTCCAGAACAGTCAGGATTACATAGAAAGATCCTATCTCAAACAAACAAACAAACAAACAAACAAGAAACTCAAACAAGAAACAAAAAAGAAAGAAAGAAAAAGAAATATGAAGGAGACTGGTAGAGGAAGCCATGTGATGCAGGCCTCCGATTCACAAGAATTTATGGGCACATAGACCACATACAGATGCAGACAAACAAAGAAAAGGCCGACTAAATACTAGCAGACAGCTCTGTCATATCACTCTCTAGACATCAACTGATAGTCATATATGTAAAAAAAATAACCCACCCATGGACTGAACAGCCATCAGCACATGGAACAAGAGGTTAAGCATATGACTTCCTTGAGAGCCTAGACTGCTGCAGGCTACCATCCTTCACAGCAGAGACCTGGTTTCCTCTTCCTTGACTTTCAGTTCCACACAGAGGAAAAAGAGAAGGATTTTTGGCTATGGCTATCCTTGAAAATGACTTAAACACTCAACCTTTTAGAGGGGATGGCCTTAAATCTCTTATTTATCCACATCCCAATAAAGGCCTGTAGTCACAAGCGGTTTTTCTGCTAAGTACACTCCATTTACATGACAAAGAATTATGAGACTTTCTTGTTATATTCAACTTGACAGTTTTGAATTGTGGAAGGACCTACTATAAGCCTGCTTTTGGCATTTATTGCCATCTACCCCTGGTTCTGAGTTTTCCAGGAGCTTTCAACAAGTCTTGTTTGGCTAATTTTAAAATATGGATGCTCAAAAGCATTAAAAAGTAATCTTAAGTACTGCATAGTAACACAGGCCTTTAGTGCTAGCACGTGGTAGGTAGACTCAGGTGGATCTCTGTGAGTTCAAGGCCAGTCTGGGAGGTCCAGAACAGCTAGGGCTAGGTAAAGAGGCCCTGTCTCAAACAAACAAACAAACAAACAAACAAATAAAATAAAAGCAACAATCTAGAAAAAGCTTAGTTTGTAAATTACTCTGGAATTTCCCAAAGAAGATTCCTTGTCAACTGTTCCCCACAGGAATCTATTAATTACCATAAACTTATTTCCATATACATTTGGTGTGTGAGGTGGACAGCAAAGATTTGTTTTCTCTTGTGAAATTGTTCATCACCAGCAAATGAAGTCTGCTTTTTAGTTTGCAAGAGAATTTTTTTTTTAATTTTTCCTATTTTTCATTGCCTGGTTTTGAGATAGTCTAAGATTTCTCTTAGACTCTTGTAGAGTTAGTTAGTATCTTTGCTTTCCCTTGCAAAACCTGTCTTCTATAGATGTCCTTTAAATAAATCAGCACAGAGTTTTGAGTGGACACAGCCTCTTACTTGAAGGCTTCTGAGTGTAATAGTAAAATTGTATTTGCTGACGGTTAATTAACATACCTCATTGCACGTAGTGTACTTTCCAAAAACTTTAGGGTAGGTGACTGAAGGACAGATGTTACCATTTTGCATCAGCTCAGCTCAGATGTAAATAAACCAGTGGAACCAAGGAGTTACACACATCCATTTGAACCTCAAGTAGTCTGGGTACAAACACCAGCAGGGCCTATGAACTTCAGTTTCTGCAGCTTTAACAAATCTAAGTTTTGGAAACCACTTTTCTGATTTTTCTGTCTCATGCTAAATTCTTAAGAGCAACTGTGGGAAAAGTGTGTGGGGGGGAATAAGCTATTTTTAAGGGAGGAATCCGGCCTGCTTCTGTATTGAGGGCATATGTCATTTCTTAACAGCCAGGTTGTTCCTTACCTAACAAGCCCTGCCAGAACCCATAATTCATACTTACAGGCATATCCTTTGTTTGACAACAGTTTGTGGGTTTGTGGCTTGGTGATTTTTCTGTAATGGTCTGCCTAGGCAAGAGAATATTCTCTCAATCATGGGGCAAGATTTAGCTGCTTGACTCAAGCAATAGAAAATGCCTTGGTGTAAAAATGGACTGTTCGGAATTGCAGGAACTCTGTTTGGTCCTAACTGCTGAACATTATCTCCAGCCTGTTAAAAAATTAGAGTTTTCAGTAAAACAAATGATGGTGGCGTCAGGATACTAGAATACCAAGCATACTTTCATTGTAATTCCTATGTCCAGTGGTTAGGTATTAAGTGTCTGTAGCATTGTTATTCTGAATGATCAGCCACATGTTTGAGGGATGGATCTTTGATGTTGATGATAAGATTCCCAAATGATGAAAATATACAGATCATAAAACCCAAGATGTTAAAAGGGGCTTTCATTGAGGTCAGTTAGCCCTTCTTTCTACTCATCTGTGAGTGACAGGTCTCTGCCAGAAATTCAAGCCCCAGCCTGAAGATGGGCCTGCAGACTTGCCATCCCCCAGTCTCCCTCCCCAGGCCTTACCAGGTCCTCAGAGAATTGAGTAAGAAGCAATAATGTTCAACTTCTCAGCTAATGGATGAACCTGTGCTACGTTCTCTGTCTACTTAGTGGTTAGACCAAAGCTCTGTTTAAAATGCTTGTTAATCTGCAGTCTTGGCTCACACCTATGCGCCTAATGTTGAACCTCATGTTGAATTTGCAGTGCAGCCTCTGCGTTCCATTCCACCTTACAACACGGAGGTGACAGAGACCACGATCGTGATCACCTGGACCCCCGCCCCAAGGATTGGCTTCAAGGTGAGTCGCAGATGCACCTTGTCATGATACAGCCCAGAGGTGCCTTCCCATTCATTCATTCCCTCCACACTTTACAGACCCAGGTTTTTTAAAGCCCTATGCTCATACTGTGGACCTTCTGAGAGCAAAGCCTGCATTGAGGCTTCTCTGTGTTGCAAGGGAAGGAAACCATTAGCATGGAACTGTAGTGTTTGTTCTGTTTTCTGTCCTTCCCCCCCCCCCAGGGAACTCCATTTTAAAATAAAAATATAACAAAACTTCATTTGATGTGTTGCTCTAAATGGGTGTTGAGAAGCTTACGAAAACCAATTTGGGAAGACCAATTAAACTGAGAGTCACTTAAAAATCACATTTTTATCCAATCAGTTTCATCTCAACTTGTTCAAAGCCCTGTGGGTGAATTTCTTAATAGAAGTTAAAATTGAGGTCTTCGCTTTGGATATTTGGAGTCAATGATACCAGGGAAGTGACAGATACAAATGAATATGTTTTTAAAGAATCCCATCCTTTGGCATCCAAAGGATGAAAAAAAGAGATACTTATTATGTCTGGAAATCAAAGCTTGATTGTTTAAAAGAAAGAAAAAGGAAATAGACCGAGGGTCACTCTGCTTTTTTAGTATGCAAATAGCCATCTTGATGAGAGGGCTGTTCAGCTATAGAGGGCTCCTCATGCAGACCGCCAATGTACCTTTTAAGTTTCCCTTAATAATGTAATTCAGAGTTTTAGAAGCCACAGAGAATATGAAGGATTTCTCTGGAGTCGAGTACTGTTTGATAATATTACCTAGGCTTTTGTAGTTAGGCACACACGTCTTCGTGGGAATGTGTTTTTCATTTCTACATGTCAAAGTGGCCGGCGATAACTAGAAAGTTAACTGAATATGAGTAACTTATTAAAGAGAGAGCCCAGGGCATTTCTTCCCTGTGTACTGCTGATATGTACCAGAAGGTTCTTTGTCAAACAGTTATAACGACATTTCTCTAGAACTTTTCTATTGTAAAAGACATTAGTACCAAAGGAAGATACCTTCAGCTAAATGCAAAATAACTAAAGTGAGCCCTCAACTTGTTATCCTCCCTCCCCCAATAAGCACACAGTGGGGATTTTTAAAGGACTTCTTACTGTGTATAACTACAACCTCTTGGGAGCTCTGGAATATTCACCCTTCATGTTGGTTTTACTTTCCTCCTTCCAGCTGGGTGTACGACCAAGCCAGGGAGGTGAAGCACCCCGAGAAGTGACTTCAGACTCAGGAAGCATCGTTGTGTCTGGCCTGACTCCAGGCGTGGAATACACTTACACCATCCAAGTCCTGAGAGATGGCCAGGAGAGAGATGCACCAATTGTCAACAGAGTAGTGACACGTGAGAAGAGCCTTCCTTTTAACTTTTAAACTATTTAAAAAGACTGCCAAAGCCAGGTGTGGTAGTGTATGTTTTTTAATACTAATGCTTGGGAAGTTAAGAGTGAGGATCAGGAGTTCAAGGCCAGCCTCACCAAAAACTGGAGGTCGATCTGGTAGGGCTGGGTTTTATAATACACACCTCTAATTCCTGTACTTGGGAAGCAGAGAGGGGCAGATGTTTGCCGCTAACCTGGTCTACATAGTGAGTTCTAGGCCAACCAGGGCTGCATAGTGAGAATCTGTATCAAGAAAAAGGAAACAAACTCTTCTAATTCTTTTATGGCTAGTATCCCAGCTTACTTATGAGACAGAACAAGGGAAAAGCCCTTCTCCTATTTATACTAACAGTCTTCAGTTGGATGTAGCGTAGCTGGTGTCATGCAGGCCACAGAATTGGAAGCGTTCCTTCCATGTCAAAAGTCTTCCAAACTGGCAAGATGAACAAATTTCAGTAGTGAATTATAATAGCATTAAATCCTAATGAGTCGTCTATCAGGGGTTACTGTTGCCTGTTTTTATAGAATACTTTATTTTTTCCTATCCTAGAGGGAAGGGATAAAGGAAGGAAAAAAGGAGGAGAGAGGAAAGGAGAAAAGAGTGGAGAGAGGTTGTAGAGGAAACATTTCACAGGCCAACTGTTTTGTGTTCAGTTTAACTTCTAAGTTTTCTTTCCTGTGTAGCGCTGTCCCCACCAACCAACTTGCATCTGGAGGCAAACCCTGACACTGGAGTGCTTACTGTCTCCTGGGAGAGGAGCACCACCCCAGGTAAGAAAGCGGAGCATCACCCTAGGCCAGCGTGGGGTAGATCTATCGGCATGTCTACAGGACACTTTCCCAAGACAGAGTTTGATTCCATTCAGATAGAAAGAGAAAACAAGTTCTCAGCTCTCCACGAGTGATACAGGTTCACGAGCGACATGTAAAAATGTCTGCCTATGTTTTCTTAATCCACGGGAAAGACAGCAATCAAATGCTAGGCTGGGGGTGGGGTGGGGGGACGACGACAAACGTTTGTACTGCAGGAAATTACAAGGATTAGATGGAAACCAGATTGTGTTCAGTTCATTAGAAGTGCCCAGACTAGGGCTGGAGGGATGGCTCAGCAGTGCAGAGCACTAGCTGCCTTTTTCAGAAACCCCAGGTTCAATTCCCAGCACCCACATGGCAGCTTCCAACTCTCTGTAACTCCAGTTCCAGGAGGTGGGAAACCCTCACAGAGACATACAGGCAGGCACAACATCCATGCACATAATAAACAAATAAACAAACACAATAAATGAATAAATAAATAAATAAATCTAAAGCCCAATTTAAAGGCTGAAATCATAGTATATAGTTCTGGAGTGAGTTACCATAAATCTTAAGTTGACTATTTACTGAAGTTTGACAAATCTCTTGGTCTCTGGGTGAGGCTGGCTTCAGGATTCCCAGTGACACCAAAATCTGCAGCTGCTCAGCCCATTGTGTAAAATGCTGTGCTTGTGTATAACCTATGCATTGCTTGTGTATAACCTATGCATTGCTTGTGTATAACCTATACATAACCTATACATTGCTTGTGTCCTTCAATTATCTGTGGGTTACTTCTACCTTAATATATTACAAATGCTGTGGAAGTGAGTGTCCTACTAGATTATTTTGGGAACAGTAACAAGAAAGAGTGTATGCACAGTACAGATCCAAACTATTTTCAACCAGTTTTTGTTTGTTTGTTTGTTTGTTTGTTTGTTTTTTAACTCCATGTTGGTTCAGCATGTAGATCTGTAACCCATGGCTATGTAATGAGTTGAACCATAAAATGTAAGAGAGACAGGGCTAGGGCGAAGGACATGAGTTCATCCCCAGCAGCTATAGAAAAAGCTGGGCGTGGCTACATGAGCAGCTGTAATTCCATTGTTGTAGGGTTGGAGAGAAGTAGGCAAGAGGATTATTGGAGTTTGCTAACTGGCAGCCTGGCTCCAAGCTCAATGAGAAATCCTGATTCAAGGAAATAAAATGAAGAGTAATAAAGACATGAAGCTGTAAATGTGCTCACATGTACTAGAATATCGTTAGGGCTGGTGAGATACTCTAGTGGATAACGGCCCTTGTTGCCAAAGTCTGAGTTGATCCCCAGGAGTCGTCACATGGTCGAAGGAGGGAACTGACTGCCAAATGCTATTCCAGAACCCCCACCAGCTGATCATGGCACACGTACACTCTCATATGCACACAAACTAAACAAACAAATGTAATAATTCATATACTACCAAATGTAATTTTTTTAAAGGGCAGAGATGAGATATAGCTCTGCAGCGTAAGTGGCTTGCTGCCAAGCCTGACTGAGGTCAATCCCTGGGGCCTATCCCTCTGACCTTCACATGCATGGCATGGGGATGTGTGTGCATGCCTGTGCACATACACACACAAAGTGAATAATTGTAATAAATAATTAATAACAACATTTATAAAACCATAAGGCATATAAAATATAACATTCAAGGAACATAATGTATCTTAAGTACATTAGCTTAGACATACTTCTGTAACTAAAAATGGGCAAGGGGGAGATGGCTGCAACACCATGCTCCTCAGTTTTGAGAACAGGCCCAATGGGAGCAAACTAATTGGAGGGATATATTTACTTCATTATTTAGTTGTTTCTAATTTTACTCATTGATAACACTCTTATAAAAGTAACATTGTCCTCCCAACACTAAGGCTGAGGCAGGAGGATAAGCCTGGTGTATACAGTGAGTCTTGTTAATGCTAGCCTGGGGTCATAGTGTGGGCTGTGTCTTGACAAAACTGTAAACTATATCCATATTGATCCCTATATATTATATACACACATACATATGTATATATCATGTTAAAGTACCTTTGTATGATGGATGCATGCCTATGTGCAGCTTTCATGTGTGTGAGTTTGGGTGCTATAGTGTGTATGGGGGCCAGAGGATAGCCTTCAGTATACATGACTGCCTGCCATCTTGTTTAAAATGGGGAGTCTGAGAGCTTCTGGGAACTCTCTTGTCTTTACTTCCCAATGCTCTCTAGCAACATTGGGGTTTCAGACACATGCTTTGGTGTTGGGCTTTATGTGGATTCTGGAGATAGGAACTCAGGTCCTTATGAGTATATGGCCAACAACCTATCCACCAAGCCCAATCTTTAGTCTATAATTTGTAGAAATAATTTCTTACACTCTTCTTACCCTTGCTTGGGCATATGTGTCAGGCAGTTATCTATAAATGTGTGTGATTATAGTCACACAAAATAAAACTAGTTTAAAATACTCCTTTTGGTCTCCTTTTGAAATAGACTGAGTGATGTTTCCTTCTCTGTGACAGCTACACTGTTTCCAGATAAGTTACTCTGGCTTTGAAACTTGAAGCCGACAAGTCCCTTGCCTCTTGGCAGCTGGATCATTAATCTTTGGTTTCAGTGGCCTGCCCATTCAATGGTCAGTCGCAAAGGAAATGACCGAAACATTATTGACTTCCCGTCCCATTGGGTTTCCTAGCACATAACACATTAATGTTCTCCTTCTCCCCACTGACAGAGTATACCCTCAATCCCTGTTCTCAGTGGGTCAATATTGTTGTATCTTCTTCGAACCTGCCCCTGCAGAGCTCTGGCCACTATTAGATTTATTGATGCCTCCTTTTCTTTAATACTTTGACTGCCCAATTTTCATACTTCTGAAGTCTTCTATGATTAGTATTTTTTTTTTTGAGAATGAGCATTTATATTTCTGTTTTCCATCTCTCCTCCACCCGTTTCCATAGTTCAAACCTTTATTTTGGAGAATGTTTAGATGGAAAGTGATCTCAGAGCATTCTGAAAAAGTAGAATATTCCTCAGCTCTCTTGCAGGTCAGTCATTAAGGAAAAGCAGGATAGAATAGTAAAAAGAGGCTGGGATTTATAGACAGGAAAGCCTCAGGTCTTCTCTAAGATTTCCTTATCTTTGTTAAAAGTCCCATGATTTTATTTTGTAGTTAAGGCATTTATATGTGTGTAAGATCACCCAGTGGATGCAGTGTAGATTGATCCAGCTAGCATTCCCTTCTCAAACATTCATTTCTAAGTGCTGGGAGACTCACAGACTCTCTAGTTTTTGTGAAATTACCATAAATTGCTATAGACTAGTCACTCAGCAGAGTAGGGAGATTAAAACTCATTCCTATTCTTTGACTGTTGGTAAGTCATTGCCCTGCCCCTTGGTCCCACCTTCTCTATGGGTCCATCATTGATGTACAGTTTGATACACCCTGGGTCATAATGTTCTGTATGGTAACTTCCTCTCTGCATTTACTCCAGATATTACTGGGTACAGAATAACCACTACCCCCACCAACGGGCAGCAGGGGACCGCTCTGGAAGAAGTGGTTCATGCCGATCAGAGTTCCTGCACTTTTGAAAACCTGAATCCAGGCCTGGAGTACAATGTCAGTGTTTACACTGTCAAAGATGACAAGGAAAGTGCCCCTATCTCTGATACCGTCATCCCAGGTAATAGAAAAATAAGCTGTTATCCTCAGAGTGGCAGTTTGAGTAGCAATGGGGATTAGCATCTTAATCCCAGATGGCTGAATGTGTCAGATACAGTTGGGATTTAATGCCAACCTCCCAGTGCGCTCTCCAAAACCACAAAGCCAAAAAGCAACTGTTTGGATGAAGGCTTTCCTGTTCCTTCTGCTTCACTATCTGTGCTTCCCCTGGATGCTGTTTGTTGCCATGGGTACGTGATGAGTGCAGCCACGGCATTAACTCTGTACTGTTTGCTCACATGGAAAGATTACTAAACAGCGTCGCGTGTCTGTACCCAGTGCTGACAGGCTAAAAGTAATGTGGTAAATGCATCCCATTGGGACATTTGTGCCCCGGGTTTTACAATCTGTAGCCACCTCTAACAGTTATCTAACAGTCTTTGTCTCCGTGTGTGAGCACTGAAGCACACTTGGTTGACAATCCGAATCTTTACCTTGCAGCTTCAAATCCTTTTTAAAATTGCAAGTGGGGTGAAACAACAGAAGGAATGAAGT